ATTTTCTTTTGAATTTCTAGAAGAACATTTTATAGAAATATCGAATCCGATACGATTTTTTTCAAAATTTTTATTTTATTTACAATTCTGTCAATGATTATTGGAATATTCATAGTCTGTTATAGTTCATTTGAAAAAGGTAGATTTTATCAATAAAATTAAGAAAATAATTTATAATATTTAGAAACAAAATGTGATCGTAGGTTTCATCGAATAATGAAAAGTTCAATAATATCTAATTCTCAATCACGATCTATTGCTGTCGGTGATTTAAATAATTATAATTTTAAAGATATTGTTGTCGCTAATTCTGGTACTTCAAATATTGGAATATTTCTTTCAAATGGTAATGGAACATTTCAAAATCAAAAAATCTATTCAACTGGATTAAAATCATCTCCTCGTTCAATTGTTATCGATGATTTAAATAATGATTCTTTTCTAGATATTATTGTTGCTAATTTTTATACAAATTCTATTGGAATTTTTTTTGGTTATGAAAATGGAAAATTTAAAAATGAAATAAACATTTCAACTGGATCATCTCATCCATTATTTATTAAAACTTGTGATCTTAATAAAAATAATTTTATTGATATAATTGTAATTAATTATCCAAAAAATAATATTGAAATATTCTATGGATTTGGTAATGGATCATTTGAAGACGGAATAAAATATTTTCTTGGTTATGATTCAATTCCATATGATTTATCTATTGAAGATTTAAATGAAGATGATTATTTAGATTTAGTTATTGTTAATTATGGTACATCAAATATTTATATTTTATTTGGATTTTCTAATAAAATATTTACAAATGAAATATCTTATTCAACTAATCATCTATCAAATCCAACATCACTTATTGTTAAAGATATTAATAATGATAATTATTTGGATATTATTGTTGCTAATTCAAATTTACGAAATATTGGATTCTTTTTTGGATATGGAAATGGAACTTTTGAAAAACAAGTTCTATTAGAAACTACTTTAAATTTTTATCCAAAATATTTAAATATTGATGATTTTAATAATGATAAAATATGGGATATTGTTATTGTTGATTCAAAATTAAATAAATTATATATTTTTTTAGGTCATGGAAATGGAAGATTCGAAAAATACACAACCTATGATATTTTCTTAGGTTCTAATCCATCATCTATTGCTATTGCTGATTTTGATAATAATAATCAATCGGATATTGTTCTGACTAATTTTGATACAAATAATATTCTTATACTTATAAATTATTCATCAAAATCATCTATAAGACAAATAAATTATGATACAGGACCATCATCTAGTACAAATTCAATTCAAATTGCTGATTTAAATAATGATCATATTCTAGATTTAGTTTATCGATCAGAATCAAATATTGCTATTAGATTTGGTTTATCAAATGGAAATTTTTCTAATGAAATAAAATATTCACTTGGAAATGAGAAAATGAAATGTCAATATATAACTATTGCTGATTTAAATAATGATAAACAAATGGATATTATCACTGCTAATGTTAATGGAGATAATTTAAGTATTTTTATTGGATATAATTATGGAGAATTTTATTTAATATCATATTATTCAACTGGAAATGGTTCAACTCCATTTTGGGTAACAACTGCTGATATTAATAATGATAATATTCAAGATATTATATCAGCTAATACAGGTACAAATTCGATTGGAATATTTCTTGGTTTTGGAAATGGAACATTTAATCAAATGATTTCTTATTCACTTGATGAAAATTATTCTCCATATTCGATTATTGTTAATGATATTAATAATGATAATTATTTGGATATGATTATTCTTAGTGAATATGTTAGTGGTGATGGTTATATTATTATTTTATTTGGATATAATAATTTAACTTTCATTAATAAATATAAATATTCAACTGGAGATAATTCTTTTCCATTCACAATGACTCTTGTTGATTTTAATAATGATTATTATTTTGATATTGCTGTTGCTAATACAGGTACAAATAATATTGTCATTTTTTTTGGTTTTGGAAATGGAACATTTACAAAACAAACAAGTTATTCTGTTGGTAATAGTACAATGTCATATTATATTATTGCTGCTGATTTTAATAATGATAATATATCTGATCTTATTGTTAGTTGTTTAGGTAATGATAAAATTGTTCTTTTTCTTGGATATAAAAATGGAACATTTCAATTATCAAAAAGATATTCAACTGGATTTAGTTCCAAACCATATGGTTTAACTGTTGCTGATTTAGATAATAATAAACAATTCGAAATAATTGTTTCACTTTGGGGTAGTGGTGGCATAGCTATTTTGTCTCAATATGATGCTGTCATTTTTTCTAATGAAGTTGTTTATTCAACTGATTTAACATTAAAATCTTCTTCATCATCTATTGCAGATTTCAATAATGATAATTTAACAGATATTATTGTTGCTCATTCTGCAACTGATGATTTAATTATTTATTTTGCTTCAATTAATAATTCATATTCAAAACAAATTAAATATTATATTGGAAAAAATTTTCATCCCGAATATGTTTTAACTTGTGATATTAATAATGATAATAATTCAGATATAATTAGTATAAATACAAAAAATAATACTTTTTCATTTATTATTGGATATGGAAATGAAACATTTAATGAAAAACAATTTATTTATTCAACAGGAGATAATTCCAAACCAATATTTGCTCTATCAAATGATTTAAATAATGATAACAGATCGGATTTAATTATTGTTAATTCAGCTACAGATAATTTTGCTATTTTTTATAATTTTAATTATACATTATTTCATAATCAACAAATTTATTCAAATAAACATTCTTTGAAACCAACAGATATTATTATTATTGAGAATTTTAATAATGATAAATATCCTGATATTGCTGTGACATTTTCTGGTAATGATAGTTTAGGCATTTTGTTTTGGATCAAAAGATGGAAATTTAAATAATATGAGTATTTATTCAACTGGAAATAATTCTAATCCAACTTATATTGATATTGCTGATTTCAATAATGATTATCAGTTAGATATTGTTGTTATTAATAAAGGTTCAAATAATATTCTTATTCTTTTAGGAGATAAAAATGGAAGTTTTCAAAATCTAATTTCTTATTCAACTGGTTATGGTTCAAAACCTGAATCTCTTGCAATATCAGATTTAAATAATGATAATAATATGGATATTATTGTTGCTAATTTATATACACATAATATTGCCATTTTTTTTGGTTATGGAAATGGAAATTTTTCATCAATTAAAATTTATTCAATAGAATTTGGTTCTCTTCCAAAATCAATTTCAATTCATGATTTTAATAATGATCAAAAATTAGATCTGGCTATTACTAAACCGGGAACAAATGAAATTGTTATACTTTTTGGTTTTGGAAATGAAATATTTTTATTAGGTAAATCTTATTCAACAAATATCAATTCTGTTCCATATAAATTAGCAATTATAGATTTAAATAATGATAAGAAATTAGATATTCTTGTCACAAATTATGAATCAAATAATATTGGAATATTTTTTGGATATGATTATGAATATTTTGGTGATATGACAACATATTCTATTGGACAAAATTCAAATCCACATTCTATCGCTATTGCTGATTTTAATCAAGATAAACAATTAGATATTGTTGTTGCAAATTATGGAACTTCAAATATTGAAATTTTTATATTGGATTTAATAATGGAACTTTTGATTCTATGATAATATATTCAACTGAAATTAATTCGGCTCCATATTGTGTTGCTGTTGCTTATTTAAATAATGATAGTTTTATAGATATTGTTGTGACTAATTCTAAAACTAATAATATTATGATTTTTTTTGGTTTGGGTGATGGAAATTTTAAAATAGATGTACTTATTTCAAATTGTAATAATATGCGATGAGATGATTGTGTTAAATTCCATGATACATATGTGAGTAAAGCACGTTGTAGAATATCAAATGAACGTCGAATTTTTAATATAAAATTTCTTGATTTTCATTTGTCATGTTTTGTTCGACATTAAAAACCGATAATAGATTTATCAGCACATAATGAAGATATTATTTTAATAATTCTTAGGAAAAAACAACAACAACAACAACAACAAATAAAATGTTTTTAATATTTGAATAAGATTAGAATGCTTTGTTGAATAAATGTATTCTGTTTGCTACGTTTACAAATACGACGACGTATTCATCTCTTACACCGCTAAAAAATACAATAAATATCTTAATAAAAAAAAAATCTTTTATATCTTGGCTCGTATGATTTATAAGATAAATAATAAATATTAGTCCATGTAGAAACTGACGAGATCAATATAATGAGAATATTTTGAATAATAATGCTAGAAAATTTTCGAAGTATAATTATTTGTTTTATATAAGAAAAAAAATTAGTAAATAAAAAAAAGAAGATTTTTAAAGTAATTGATCAGTTTATTTATTAGAATAATTGAATTAAAAAGAAAAAAAAATTAAATTAATTGTTTATTTTACTAAATTTTTTGGCCATGGAATGTGTAAATAAATGGTGTTTTCTAAGATGTTCGGCCAGGTGTTTTCTCTTCATTTCACCTTTCACACATGGTATGTTGCGTGATCGTTTTGGGTAAGATTCAATCAAATGGATCATACCCATGAGAACCATTCCGGCTGTCGGAAACGCCGTCAAAAACGGTCTGAAACGACTATAAAATGGCGTTTCACTGCCTTATTTATAGTCGCATTTCACCGTAATTCATCAACCCAGAATACGGCGCCGTTGTCTTTGCCATGGGTATAAAACCAAGCATTGAACTAAAATAAAAACGAAAAAAGATTAGTTTTATTTCTTTTTTATCTAAATATTTTATTATTGTTTTAGTAATAAAATCAATTTAATTGTAATTCTTATTAACATTTTGAAGATTTATCTTCGAATATTTTTTAATCAATTTATCAAACCATATTAATATTACTTTTTAGGTATGGTCAAATATTTGTCTATATCATGTGAGACTACAAGTATATTCCAAAAAAATCTTTGTAATCTTATTAGATCATGTCATTCGATTGATTTTATTACAGCTTTTGAATATGATTTTCGATTTCATCTATTATTATATAGTAAAAACTGTGTTAATTTTCAAAATAAAAATACACTTTCGTATATTTTATCGCATGAAAAGTAAATGTTAGAAATTTGACTGTTTTCTTTTCATTTTTTTCTACTTAAACAAAAGTATTTAAAAATTTCAATCGATAGACATTAGACTTTTACATTAGGTTATCAGCTAATGTTACTCTCGATACTTAAAATGTGTATACTCAAATGACAGAATAGAAAAATAAAAACTTACTATAAATTTCTAATGTAAATTTACTTGCTGATGGTGTTGATCTTATTGGTGGATTAATATCAGCCATAAGTGCTTCATTATCCATTATTTCATTGTCGATCACAGAAGAATTAGTAATGCCAGATAACGATGATTCGACATTAATAATTGTTGCTTCTAAATAAATATTGAACAAAAAGATTTTATTTTGAAATATTATTTAGATAATTTACCTTCTCTATTTAATGGAATTGTTTGTTCGATTGATTGTTGTCCATGTTGACTTTCTTGATTTTTTTTAACAATTTCAGGTATAAATTCCTGTGAAACTGTTATAAAATCATGTACCATTTTGTCTGCTTTTTTTGTCATATCAGCCATGAAGTGTACCGATCGATGTTGTGAGCAAACAAACTGGCCACAACAATTACATTCATATAATTTTGTTAACCCTTCAAGGCATGTTGCATCAGTACAATAACCTGTTAAAGACATATCTGAAAAAGTAATATTTCATATTAATATATATATGTTCTTTAGCAAAGAACAAACAATAAAAAAAACACAAAAAAATATTTTAAAAAAATACTTATGTGTATATCATCGATCATTTTATTATCTGATATGCTAAAACAAAACAAAAAAAAGATATGTATTTATTTAATCTAGAAAAAAAAGTAAATATTTAGAATATTTTGAAAAAAAATAAATTATGTTGTAGATCTATATTGATTTAATTTGAATTATCTTAAGAACGTGAGTGTGAATAATCAAATTAACTACATTCACTACTATAAACTAGTAACTAGATTTTATTAATGTAATGAATCACTTGATTACAAATATCAAATAATTATAACTCTTGTGATAGTTCATTTAGGATTGTTATACTCAACAAATTTTATTTGATTGAATTTGTCAAATAAACATCAACTAATAGATTTAACTTACTACATGTTTGCTTTGATTTTCAGTTATTAAATTAATTAATTTAACAGTTCTAAGTATTTTATTTATAATTTTTAGCATTGATGGATGCACATGATGAATATCAATAAGATGAATTTTGAAAACTTGTATATGGATCAACAACTTGAACATTATTTTTTATTAAACATGTTGCAGTTGGTATATTTACATTGACAGCTCGTGAAATAATATCAGAAAATGATTCTAATAAACCATAGTCTTGATCTATATAATTACTTAAATTTGTTATAATCTTTTTTTGACATAAACAATTACAATGATGTTTTTTATTGAGACCAGATAAGCATCATTCACTCATAATCAACATGTATCAGCAATTCAAGAAATTGATACGTTTAGAATCTAGAAAAGAAAGAAAATATTTTTACAAAACAACAATTCACATCTATTCGTTTTACAATATCATGATCATCATTATCAACATTAGCAATAATTGTTTCAATAGAAAATATACAAAATAAAAGATATTATTTCTTTTTCTAAGAACTATTATACTTTTCTCATTCAGTACTTTCCGTTTATTTTTACAATTTAAAAACATATATCTATCATATTGATTTAATAATATTAATTTACTTTTTTGTTTATCATAAATAGTATATGTAGAATGAAACTATCAAAATAATAATTAATCTTTTTCAGTCGATCAAAATCTATAAATAATGAATCATCTTCTAAAAGATTCTAATAATAATCAATTCTTATATAAAACTATGATAAAAAAAACAACTATGTTTTTGTTTAATTGCTTTAACTTGAAATATAGACAATAAAATATGTCATGATTTCGAATTGATGTTAAAAATAAAAATAAATTAACTAAAGTTGAATTGCTGAATAAACTTTATTACTAGAAGATAATTTCTAATAAAGATTAATTATGATGACATAGTATATATGCATTTTCTCTTCATCTTCTCTTCTGTCAGTATTCAAATAATATTATAATATCTGTGTGCTTTTTTCATTTATATTTCTTTCATTTATATATCTCGAATATTGTACATGTTTTCTCTCATAATGTTCATTTACAATCTGACAAAGATTTTGTTTTTATTTTCATCTGTGAAATAGTATGTAGTCAGTTAATCATTTCTTTTAATTGTCGATATATATACATATATCAAATACATGTGAATCTTTTTTTTTCACATCATATATGTTACTGCATTTTTCTAATACTGTCGTTCTTTATCTATAAGCACAGATGTCTTTCTCGATTCTATGTCTATATATCTATCTATAAAAGTTTATCTAAAACTTATAAATAGTAGTAAATGTTATACTGACGTCATCAAAGTATAACGAAGATAAAACAAACAAACAAACATAGTAATAATCGCAAGTACACAAATACCTATTCTAAGTTTTATCACTGCAATAAAAATACATTTAACTTTTTACTTAAATATTTATGTCTTTAAATCTATACTTAGTGTTTATTTAAAACTATTTCATATTTAAATCAAGGTTAGGAAAGTTCTTACTTAATAATTTATCAGACTGTTATTGTTTTTCTTGAATCATCGTTTTTAATATTTTTCAATAATGAATTGAAATTGTTCAACATCATTAAAATTGTTATCGAATAAAGAATTAATTCAAATAACTAATCTTTTATAATCATCTAGCTTTTGTTCGTATTGATAATGAATAAATAGAAAAAAGATATTTAAGTTTCAATTGATGATCTTCTAAGTGTTTTCTTATTGTGTTCAAATAAACGTTGATATTCAATGAAATGTTAAAGATAAACCATTTTCATGTAATGATGTGCACAATCGAAGAAACGAACGGTCGTTTGATTATATGAATGTCAGCTCAGTACATCGACCAAAGTCAGGCATAATAAGTGTTTGAAATCGATCAAATTTATATTCGTTGAGAACAATGGGAAAAATCTAGAAGTAGAATCAGATGAAATGAAACAAGAAAACAATTATATTGCGTCTATATAAATAGACTGAATTAAAAACCGAACTGATTGATCCCTCCTCCAATAAAATTATAAATCAAAAATATATGATTTATTCTGTCTCATAGAGAAGAGTCGAGTGAGAATAAATGGTTTGCATGCTTGCGCATCCACACCCTCATTGATTTGTTTATAAGAATTTTTATATGTAAGAAAAGATAATGAGTCATATTTAGAGAATGATTTTGTCTGGTTAATTTTAACAATCAATTATTTGAAATGATCCAATAAAAATTGTATGAAATTTCTTGTCTGCATATTTCTGTTGTAACAATATTCAAAGATTTCTTTAGTTTTTTTTCTTCTTTAAGAATCTTGATTAATCGATAATGAAAACATTTTAAAATTTAGAGTTTTCCATAGAAAAAAATCTATCTTCATTATTCGATTTGATTATTTCTTAAAACTTTGTTTTATTAATAAACTAAACATAGAATTTATATCATTAAAATAGTTCTTTAATATAATTTTATTTGACGAATAACAGAGTAAACTGGAAATTATTTTTAAGCTAATAATTATATTTATCTAATAGCATTTCTATTTGTTGTGTATGCTTGGAGTTTCCATGTAACATAAAAATCTCCTTTTCAACATAAGTTTCTAAATGATGTTTGTTCTAATGGTTCATAAGATACTTTTAAACTTTCTAATACTTGTGGTAATTGATGTACAAGAGAATCTCGTCTATGAACAATATTATCATCGTTCGATATAATAGATGGATTAATAGGTGTAGTAAAAAAAATATTTTTTGATAAACCATTTCCATGTAATATCCGATTCATAAACAGTTCTTTAAAAAATCCAAGATATGACACTGTATCAACTTCATCAAAGAATACAACTTATTCAATATTAGATAATTTACATGCTAATTGACAAATAGATAACATAAATTGTTCAAGTTGTTCTTCAGTTACATGTGCATGTAATAATAAATGATAAAATAATGATTTGATTTCACTATGAAGTATATATTCCTTGAAAATTTCAATTGATATTTGTATATTTGGTGAATAGGAATTATTAAGTAATTGTTGAAGATAAAAACTAGATTCAATCAATGGAAAATTAATTAATTGTAATGTAATGCATAGATTCATTTTTGAGCTATAGTCATTGTATTTTCACTTGTAATAGTTAGAATTATTTTCCATAAATATCTTAAAATATCATTATCATATCCATAATTTCCTAATGAATTTCAAATATCTTTTAATAAAAGAGGATCAATTAATTGTTTTTGCTTGAATTTCTTGTCCTATGGAAACTGGAATAATTGATTGTGGTTGAATATATATTAAACTTTCATTAAATGTATCTTCAATATGAGGATGATAGATATTGGAAATTTCTACATTTATTTCATCATTATTATCAAGTCTCATAAGTTTTAATTTTACTCGATTAAGAAATATATTGAATAAATTAATTTTATTATCTAAATTATCAAATATGATAGATATATACGTGGAGCCATATTGTCATAAATTGAAGCATTGATTATATTAGAATTTAATAATAATAATGATGAATAGAAGTTGAGAAGAAATACTTTTCCAACACCTTTCATATCTGCAATAATCAAAGATAATTTTGTTAATTTAAGTTCATGAATATGAAATAATTTATAAACAAAATTTTCAGTTAAGATCAATTTGGTTTCATTCATACTTTGTTCAAAATCATGATATTTCATATCGATTAACCATGACAAGTATTTAATAAAGTAATCTTTAGATTGAAATTCTTGTCTTAACGAAGGATTTTCATTATTAAATAACTGTTTTAATTCACGTGAAACATTAATCCAATCATCATATAATAAATGGAATGAAAAATTCGGATCATATAATACAAGATATGTACGAGGATAATTATTTGTTTGAAAATCTATTTATGAAAGTGACTTTGCTTCATCTATTATATGTTTCATTGTTACTGAACCAAGATTTAGAACTAGCTTTACCTTACTTTGATCGACAGCAAAAATGTCGAATGGTAAAAATGTCGAAAACATAGCGCTACCTACCACGTCCTTTTCTCGACATTTTTACTTTCGATCACAGTAAGGAAAACCGTTTTTCTCTTACTAGTTCGATCATGTATTTTATAATTTTCTGCTTGAAGTTGATATTGTGTTGTTAAATTATCTTATAATTCTTAAAATCTTTGATGTTCATGAAATGAATATAGATCAGATTTTTTCATTATTTCAATAACAGATGAACATTGAAGTGCTGTGTTAATTAATTGTAAATGTTGATTTAAAAGATTTTGAAATAGTTGTTTTAAAATATTATAAGCATGTATTATTTGTTTTAATGAACAATTTTCATCATATAAATGTTTTTAAATAAGTAATTAATTGATCATTGGTATCAGTTGTTAATATATCAAATTTTTCAATACAATTAATAATAATATTAATAAATTTAAAACCATTCACAAACTTGTTCTATTTCTTTATCAGTAGAAATATTTGTTGTTGTTTATTCATAATTATTCCATGTTCGGAAGAACGATTAGTAAAAAGTTTTTTTTAACCTTTTCTCATATATGAATATTTGTATCACAAAATACAATTTTAAGATTACTCATATCTTTTAAACTAATATTACCATTTCAAATACTATCAATAAATTGAAAGACTTTATCAAGTAATTGATAGAACATAATAAATATTCCATGAAAAAGATGACAAGTTTATAATGGAATGAAACTTATTCGATACCAAATTGTATGTGAAGAATATGTTTGTTCATTATTAATATTAGTTGACGAGATCGATGTGTTTCAAATTCTCCTTGTAGAACATATTTCTCGATTGGGATTATTTCTTTATCAAATAATATTGGATTTTCATCTTCTAATTCAATTGTTTGATATCGAATTTGAATATTACAAGGAGATTTTTCACTAGCAATACATCATTGAATATTATGCCGATAATTAATTAAAAATATATTTTCCGAAGACATCTTTCCTAATACTATAAATATATTATTAGGTTGAGATCGTTTTAATTCTCGAATACGATCTGTCGAATCAGTTCGGTTGTTTAATGCATCTACATCAATTAATTAAAATGATGTTAAACAATTAAATAAATCACAAAATCATCGAAGAATTTCTGATATCCTTTCAACGATTTTTTTCATTTGAATAAATGTAATAGATGAATCATCTTTTTTTATTACATGTATATCAGTAAATAATTGAGCAGTTTTCCAATTTCTTAACCATTCAACTACATATAATGATATTAATAAAAACTTATCAAACCATTGAATCCACTTATCTGTTTGTTCAATAAAATATTGAAAATATTTCTCTTTCGAATCAAATTTTGTAATCTTAATATCGTTTTGTATATATGATATTATTAATTCAATTTAAGATGAAATTATTGGAAACTTATAATGTTGTGAATTAATTGTTGTTATTATTATTTGTTTTAAATCTGTATGTTGAAGAAAATGAAACTAGCCTTGTAATAATAAAATTTGTTGAATAGATTATTATTTTTGGTTAATAAATTCGTCGACTTGTTTTACATCGATTTGATATAATTAGTTATAAATTCAATATTTGGAAGTGATAATACAGATTTTATATATCGAATAATAATTAAAATATTTGTTAAAATATCATTATTATCGAAGGTATTATATTTAACTTGTTTTATCCATTGATTTAATTTCAAAAGTATTTCATTTCCATTTTCATTTTTTGATTTAACAATACTTAAATGTATTGATCGTTTCTAAATATAAATTGTTCAATGATTATATTTACTTCGAATTGACAGAAAAAAATAATGATAAGAAGCTATTTTTACAATAGAAGTTGTTACCAGATATTAATTCGATATACAAATCTGTAATTTCTAGCACATTGTATAGATGATAATTAGTTTTCTTCAATTTTAAAACTATTTCTATCTTGTAGCAGTAGTGATACTTCTCGACATAAGTGAAAAATGTTGTTGTTGTTATTCTACGAGATATACGATTCATAACACTATATTGAAGAAGACAAAAAAAGATTTATCGTATTTTGATTTGAAATGTCGAGTTACTTCTACAATATTCTTTTCTTTTTTAATTTTTACGAAGAAAATATCAAGATAAATATTGTAAATATATTTAAAAGGATAAACAACAAAAAACCCAGATACTAACATGTTTTATTGAATAATAAACTTGCCTATCTATAATTCGTTGCGTAGAAAAATGGTTTCTTCAAAAACAAAATCTTGAAGTGATATCGGGTACGGATGACTCATGCGTACATGCAGCATATTGTATTTTAAAAAAAGGATTTTACAAGAAATAGTCGATCAGTTCTTACAAGTTAAACGCATTTATTAGAATGATTTCGTATCCATTTTAGTACTTTATCGTACAATCTACAAAACAGAGTATTTCTTTGTTAGCGCTTGATATGAATGAAAAAACTGGAATATATTAAATTAATATTATCGTTTTTATTTTTTCTGTTACAAATAGCAGCTTTAATTGACTTAAAAATATTGAATCTGCAAATCGATACTAGAGATTTTGAGTATATATATATTATTATCATCATTATGAAATCTTCTTTGGGATCACAGATATGATCACATGCTATGCTATTCGAAATGCATTTTGATAATCGTAACATTATCAAATAAAAGTAAATAAAAAGAATTAACTAAGATGCGATATTAACTCTATCTGATAGTTAACCAAAATTTGTTCGATTTGATACATGAGATTAAACGATGTTTTTCTATTTTAATCAATATGGATTTTTAATTAGTATCAAGTTATGAATGCCTTTTAGTAGCAACTATATCAGTTGTTTAGTTTAAAATCATCAAATAATTACTTGATAATATTTTTAAAGTAGGACTAAGTATTTTATCATAGTTTTCACAAGATATATATGGTTATGAATAATAGTAGTATCTACATAGTCAGAAGATGACATAGTTGAGTCTAGTTTAAGCTGTAATGTTTTCTGAATAATATTTCAATGCTAAAAATAATTTATTAGATCGAGCATAAATACTAACTATATTACTATGAATTGTGAGTGATGGGATAATACAATTAAGTCAACTTGACTTAGTCAAGTATTCTCTTTAAAACAGAAGCGTATTTCTTCAAAACCTCGAGCAATTCGAATGAATTTGATAATTATCCATCGTATTATAAATAGAAATATTGATCACTGTCAATCATCAGAGGAGTTCTGTCGAAGCTTTAAAGTAAAGTTTATAACAAATTATCATGTCATATGACAAGACAAAAATTGAAACCCTCACCTGTATGACAGGATAAGACAGCAGGATGTGCGGCATATCCTGCCCTGTGTTTAGCTCTGGTACATATATAATTGAATTACAATCTATTTTTGAACGATATCAATGAAAAAATGAAAATGGATCAAAAGAAATTTATTTTACACTGTGTATACATGTATATATATATATATATATATATACAATAGTTTCTCAACACTTTTTTGTATAACAAATGCGATACATGATACATACGTCATTTTCTGTTAAATTCGATGATAAATTACACAGATGTACTTGATGTACTTGGAATCAAAAATGTATCATTTTATATTTTCTAATTTAATTTAAATATCTTTCGAAAGATACAAAATATTATACTGAAAATTTTAGTACTAGTAAAACTTTTTGTTTTACATATTCTATAAAAATAATGAGCTAAATCTAACATCTCTTTGCTGAATGATAAAAGTAGACAGTTTTGTAAATGGTTATTCTACACAAAAATATCCAAGTGTCTATGAAATAATATTAATATTAATTATATATTCCTATAGAATATCAAATATTTGATAAAACAGATGTTATTATCGAAATAGAATTCATATATAAATTTTTCTAAAACAAATTCAATAAATTTACTATATGTCAACGTTGTCAAAATAATAATTTTTTAATTTGTGCAGGTGGTGTATTAGGTGGTATTCAAATACAATTTGCTCGATCAGAATAATTTCGCGGAACTATAAACAAAAAAAACAGAAAAGAAAATTTTATTCTCACAAGTTATTGTTCCATGTGATTCTACTTGATGTATTTCAAGATACTCCTTGTCAATGATATTTTCAATTCATTTTTTCATTGGCAGAAATATTTACATTCATTGGACATTTATCTGGTCTTGTTTGTGCACAATTTCTTGTCAATTACGATTCAATTGAATATTATTTGTAGTTTGGATGTCCTCTTTTAATACGACAAACAAAATCTTTTATTAATTTATTTTCGATCTTTGAATATCGTTTCATCATTGACTCTTTATCTAGTCACATTGTTTATAAACAAGTAATTCAACGTTTGTGTCTAAATTTTTTGCAATAACTAATATTAATTAAGAATGTTAATAGGATATATATGGATCACGTGTCAAAAATGCAGTGTGAACGTGACAATAGGTTAAAAAAACATCCGATATATCTAGTGTAAATATAAATAAATATGGACGAACAAGAACATTTCATTTACAATAGTCCAAAATGAATTGATTCTCATTCTATTTTTATCGAGAATAGACTAATTTCTATTTCTGTTTCTATTTGTATTGAATTGTTTTGATTTTTCGTCATCTATTGTTTCAGGAGAAAATTCTAGATCAAATAATAGTTTATTCGATTGTGCACATAATTATATGAAAATGGTTTATCTTTAACATTTCATTAAACATGATTGTTTATTTAAACACAATAAGAAAACACTTAGAAGATTATCAATTAGAACTTAAATGTCTTGAGTCGATTTATTCATTATTATTATTAGTTAATGTAAATAAAATTCGTTATGAATATAAACAAAAACTGGATGATTATAAAACATTAGTCAATGATGTTGAACAATTTCGATTAATTATTGAAAAAATTAAAAACGATGATTCATGAAAAATAAAGATAATCTGATGAATCAGTAAGTAAGAACTTTCTTGGCTTAGATTCAAATATCGAATAGTTTTAAATAAAAACTAAGTATAGAGTTAAAGACATGAATATTTAAGTAAAAAGTTAAATGTATTGTTATTGTAGTGATAAAACTGAGAATAGGTATTTGTGTACTTGCCATTATGACTGTGTTTGTTTGCTAGTTTTATCTTTACTATACTTTGACGAGGTCAACAGAAAATGCACTACTGTTTATAAATTTTAGATAAGCTTTTATAGATAGATATATAGACATAGAATCGAGAAAGATATCTATGCTTATAGATAAAGAACGACAGTATTAGAAAAATGCAGTTTCATATATGAAAAGAAAAGATCCATACGTATTTCATTTACATATATATCGACACTTAAAAGAAATGATTAACTGACTACATACTATTTCGCATATGAAAATAAAAACAAAATCTTTGTCAGATTGTAAATAAACATTATGAGAGAAAACACGTACAATATTCGAGATATGAAAATGAAAGAAATATAAATGAAAAAAACACACAGATATTATAGTACTATTTTATTACTGACAAGAGACAAGATGAAGAGAAAATGTATATATACTATATGATCACAATTAATCTTTATTAGAAATTATCTTCTAGTAATAAAATTTATTCAGCAATTCAACTTTAGTTAATTTATTTTTATTTTTAACATTAACTCGAAATCATGACATATTTTATTGTCTATACTTTAAATTAAAGCAATTAAACAAAAATATAGTTGTTTTTTTTATTATAGTTTTATATAAGAATTGATTATTATTAAAATTCTGTAGAAGATGATTCATTATTTATAGATTTTGATGGACTGAAAAAGATTAATTTTTATTTTGATAGTTTAATTCTACATATACTACTAATTATGATAAACAAAAAAGTAAATTAATATTGTTAAAATCAATATGATGGATATATGTTTTTAAACTATAAAAATAAACTGAAAGTAATGAATGAGAAAAGTATAATAGTTCTTAGAAAAAGAAATAACATCTTTTATTTTGTGAGTTTTGTATTGAAACAATTATTGCTAATGATGATCATGATATTGTAAAAAGAATAGATGTGAATTGTTGTTTTGTAAAAATGTATTCTATCTTTTCTAGATTCTAAATGTACCAAGTTCTCGAATTGCTGATGCATGTCGATTATGAGTGAATGATGGTTATATGGTTTTAATAAAAAACATCATTGTATCCGTTTATGTCGAAAAAAGATTACAACCGATATAAATAATCATATAGATCAATATCATGGTTTATTAGGAACATTCTCTAATATTATTTCATGAGTTGTTATTAAAAATATACCAACTACAACATGTTTAATTAAAAATAATGTTCAAGTTGTTGATCCATATACAAGTTTTCAAAACTCATCTTACTAATGTTCCTCATATGCATCCATCAATGCTAAAAATTATAAATAAAATACTTAGAACTGTTTAATTAATTCATTTAATAACTGAAAATCAAACAAAACATGTAGTAAGTTAAATCTATAAGTTGATATTGATTTGACAAATTCAATCAAATAAAATTTGTTGAGTATAACAATTCTAAATGAACTATCATAAGAGTTATAATTATTTGACATTTGTAATCAAGTGATTCATTACATTGATATAATCTAGTTACTAGTTTATAGTAGTGAATGTAGTTAATTTGATTATTCACACTCATATTCTTAAGTTAATTCAAATTAAATCAATATAGATCTATAACCTGATTTTATTTTTTTCAAAACATTTTAAATACTTATTTTTTTTCTAGATTAAATAAATACATCTTTTTTTTTTGTTTTGTTTTAGCATATCAGATAATAAAATGATCGATGATATACAAATAAGTATTTTTTTAAAATATTTTTTTGTTTTTTTTATTATTTGTTCTTTGTTAAAAATTACTATATATTAATATAAAGTATTCTTTTTTCAGATATGTCTTCAACAGGTTATTGTAATGAGTCAACATGCACTGAAGGGTTAACAAGATTATATAAATGCCAATGCTGTAGTCAGTTTGTCTGTTCACAACATCGATCGGTACACTTCATGGCTGATCTGTCAAAAAAAGCAGACAAAATGGTACTTGATTTTATACAAGTTTCAAATGAATGTATACCGGAACTTGTTAGGAAAAATCAAGAAACTCAACATGAACAACAACTAATTGATCAACCAATTCCATTAAATATAGAAGGTAAATTATTTAAAAAATTTTTTAAAATAGAGTCTTATTATTTAATATTTATTTAGATGAATTAATTATGGAAGTTCAATCACCATCATCATCATCTGATATTGATCAATCACCAGAAGATGTTTTACCACCAATTAAGTATGTTTTATTTCAATTTAAAAATTATGATTTATATAATTATTGTTTAGATCTCCAGTCGATCATAATTCACGAGATAAATCAGGTATGTTAAAGAAATAAATATGAAACTTTTAGGAAATTTTTTTTGTCGTTATAACATACAGATTAAGTGTCGAGAGTAAAGTTAGTTGATAATCGAAAGAAAAATTCTGATTGTTATCGATTTAGACTGCGAAATATTTATATTTAATTAGAAAAAAAAATGAATATATACATTTCTTCTTCTTCTTCGTTTCGTTTAATAGTAAAACGAACAGGCAGAAATAGTGTGGTATGAAAAACATAACCTACTTATCGTCCACACCACGATTAAATGAAAAGAAAAGAAAAAGATAACCGATTTATCGTCCATGCCACTAGGAAATGAAGAGAAAAGAAAAGAAAAAATATGTATATACATATATGTACAATTACTTCTCACGAACAACGATATTGTTATTCGAGATCTGAATTCGTCATTAAATAAATAATTAAATAAATAATTATATATATATATATTAATTAGAAAGAGAAAAAATTCACCTCAAAATATCTACAACTTTCATCAACCACACACATTAATTAGTACTCATATATTGACTATCTTTCACTTAAGATTGAATTTCAGAAAGTAATTAACTGATTTCATTTTCGAAAAAGGATAAATAGATCCATAATTCTATGTGAATAGATTTTATTATATGTGGATTATATGACGAAGAAGAGATACGACTGAATAGCTTAGTTGGTATAGCATCCGCTCGGTACGCGGTAGGTCCGAGGTTCGATTCCTCGTCTGGTCATTTCTTTTGCTCCGTTTTGTTGTCATACTATCTCGCTGGACAGACCTCGGGTGTTAGATTTTCATCTTCGCAAGCTAAATCTTCAAAATATTAATAAGAATTACAAATAAATTAATTTTATTACCAAAAAAATCTAAATTATTTTGATAATCAAAACTAATATTATTTTTGTCTTTTCCTTTTTTTAGGAATAAATAAGCATGATCGCTTGGTGTTATGTCCTTTTACACATGGTATGATTCATTTAATTGATTGTTGCCCGACACAATCACGAAACATACCATGTGTAAAAGGATCTATGAAAAAGAAACATCTAAAGCAACACCTAACAAAATACCATCGACTGACGCTATCAGACGCAACAAAATTTAGTCAAATTTAAAACATTTAATTTTAATTTTTTTTTATTATTTATTTAATTTTTTCTTGTTCCCTTATTTGTAATATTAATTTAATTAAACTAATGAATAAATTTATCAACTACTTTTAAAATCTTTTTTTGATTTATTAATCTTTTTTTTCTAATATTACTTAAACAATTGCACTTCAAAAGTGCCCTATCATGATTGTTTGAAATATTCTCATTTACTCATCTTCTAATTTACCATTAAAAATGCGAAATAAAACTGTGCTTGAGAAAAATAACAGATGATCATTTTATTATTATATTCATATTATATTGGTCACTTCAGTGTCTATATAGAGTAATGTTTATTATTTATTATATAAATCATACGAGCCAAGATATAAAAGATTTTTCTTTAAGTAGAAATATTTATCGTTTTTAGTGGTGTAAGAAATGAATACGTCGTCGTATGTGTGAACGTAGGAAATAGAATAAATTCATTCAACAAAGCATTCTAACTTTATTCAAATATTAAAACATTTTATTAAATTTTTCAAAGATTCTCTTTAGATGATATTCGTATAAAAATATTATTCTAATTTTAATTTAACAAAAGTAATGATTAATATCTCATATAATTCTTTGTTCAATAATAAAGATTATTATTTAATATGAATATTTTACTATTTTATTTTAATTAATAGACAAGAATTTAAATAAAAATAAAACTACAATTGAATTTTATAAAATATTGATGATTTTACTTTCGTATTTAATCATTGAAAATATTAAATTTAATTTTTCTAAATCAATTGATCTTTTACAAATGAAATAAAAATTACGTATATCTTATAAAAATATTTTTCATTTAAAAATTATGGAAGGTTTATTTAAATAAAATTTAATTTTTACGTCTATAGATATTTATATGAAAATGATTTAATTTACATTAAGAGTTTTATAGAATTTCTATGCAAAACATTTATTTTAAATAACTGTTATACAAAAAATAATAGTGATGAAGAAAATATAAAAAGAACGGAGAATATTATTTATTTATTTATATTGAAAATGAATTAATAAGAATGATATGTATCAGAAGATAAATAATTTCGAAAAGAATATTTTCAAATGATTTTTAGATTCGAATTTTCTATATTGAATAGAAATTAGTGAAATAGAAATAATCTTTAGATTTTCTTTTTGAAATTTAAGACATTTTATTCTTTAACATAGTGTGTAGCAATAACATTGAATGATTATATTTTGATTTATTTATTATTGTAAAATACTCTAAAATTATTAATTCGAAATAATGTTTCATTCTTGAGATATTTATTACATTCTTTGTTTTATATGAATTCTTTTCAAGATGTTTTATTGTTGAATAGATTTATCAATGAATAAACTCTCAGATGAAATTTTTATCAAATATCATATTATAAATTAAAAATCTTAGCGAAATGATTTCAACTCTGGATGAAAAGTCTAAAGAGATTTTATTTTTTAAGTATTTTTAAATGACATTAACATCTATATTGAATACACAAACAATAAAAATTTATTTCTGGACTTTTCCAAACTTCATCTATAAAACTTTCATGAGTTCGAGGAATTTTTATAGTTAAATATTTATTTCGGAATAGGATAGAAAATTTATTTTTATTTTTATTTTTAATTTTTCTATTAGAATAAATAATAATAATTCAATCCAATTTTCTTTAATTGATATAAATACTAAAGAACTATTTTAACTATCAAACAAATCAATGATGATTAAAATATTCTTTTCAAATATAAAATCTATGAATTAATAAGAGATAATTGATCACATAATCATAAAAACAAATAGAATTTAATTAAATTTCAAAAATTTACTGTTTTCATCTATTTATTCAGTGTACAAATTTTCTTAAGTTAATATCGAAGAAATCTTTTCAAACTGTAATATTATAGGAAGATATTTTATTGAGAAAAGAATATTTATAATTTTCTTTATATCTATTAGTGAAGGACGATATTTTTTGTGATTGAAATCACTTTTTAATAAAAACTAAATCAAATGAATCTATAAAAAAAATATCTTAAAACTTTCTTTGTTTTGTTATGATTATAATATATTGATAAATTCATAAATAGAATTATATATTAACATTTTATGATAGATAAAGGGTAAATTATATTTAATCTTAATTTATTGAGATTTATGTAATTATTTTAGAAATCTTCATCTTATTATTTAATTCTTCTCTTTCGTTTTGTTTTATTCTGATTTGTTTAAATTTCTTTTATTAATTGTCTTTTACTAGTTGTTTCTTTATTCTTTCATATTCAAATTCAAATAAAATTTATTTTAAACGCACAACAATTCGTTTGTTTTAATGGAGAAAAAAAGAAAGTTTGATTTGTTGTAAATCTTGAGGGTGTGGATGTGGGTGTGGGTGAGGGTGTCGTATTCTCCTCCGACAACACCCACACCCTCAAGATCGAAGATTAAAATTTTATGAATCTTTTATGAATTTTTTATAGTTCTGTCTTTATCTGCATTCAATTTTCAGTCACACAGAACATAAGTCGATATATTCAACCAATCTGACAGTTACTCTAGTATACTTGATACTTTTTTTTATATAACTCTATTTAATAGATATCAACAGTTACATTTAGGTGATATTTTTAATTGTAATCAACATAGTTTAATATTGTAATATTTATTATTAACTGTTAATATCATAAAATTTAGGTAAGACAAGTAAATATTCATTATCTTACAGTTGCTTGACAAGAAAAACGAAGATAAGAAATTATAAGCAGACTTTTGTTTTTGTCACTTTCTACTTCTCAAGAATTCAACCAAAAAAAATAATGATAATCTTTTCAAAGTCGAATACAATTATTTCTATTTTATTTGTTCTTATATATTTTCAAAATATAATTGTTAGACTACAATCTGTTGGTAGTAAAGGTAAATTTGATTTTGGTCCAAATCAATTAGCATCAAATATTTGGTATAAACCAAAAGGTCAATTAATCAATGGTCATTATGAAAATAGTTATTCAAATTTTAGTTTATGGTCAAATCTTTTATTACATTTACAAAATAATAATGGTTCAATATCAATACAAGCTTCGGAAATTGGATATATGAAGAATGAAGCATTGATGAATTTTCGTAAAAATAATATTTCTGTTATTGTAGTATTACCTGCTTTTACTCAATGTTATGATGGTACTATATTAGGATTATTAGAACTCTATGGTGAATCACCAAAAGAGAATTTATTTTGTAAAATTTTTGATATTTGTAATTCAACAGATCGACAAGATCCAAATGGAAAAGGATGGTTTGTTACTCGAGATGATTTTGCATATACTCCTGATTTCTTAAATTTTGATGAAAGAATGCCAAATTTAATTCCTTATCTTGACTATAATAAATTAATGAATATATCAAGTAATCCACCACAATGGTTATATCCAAATCTTTCTTGGGTGGATAGAAAAACATTAGCACGTGTTGATAATTGTCCTCAAGCAGGTACAAATCGTATTTCAAATCTAATGCATGATTATATAAAATATCTATCTATTATGAATAAAAAATTTAATTCGACAAAAATTCCAGGAATACAAATCAATTGGAATGTTATTGAAGGGTGGGAATGGAGAGATGAACATTGTTTAGATTTATTATATGATAAATTTAATGATTCGAAACAATTCGATTATGCTTATCGTTATATTACTAATCCTTGTCATCAAGATACACCGCATTTAAAAGATTTAGTAGAATTACTCTGTTCTGTAAATAATTGTCCTGAAGTTGTTTATATGGATATGGATTTAACATATTTTACATCGTATTCATTAGAAGTCCTTCATATGAATAAACAAATTTTAAATTCATTGAATATTTCATTTGGAATTAATTTAGTTGATCAATGTGTAGAAATTGATAATTGTGTTGCAGAAATTCTTTCAACAGATCATTCACAAGTTGTATTAAATTTAGATGCAGAATCTAAATATCCAAATTTAACTCGAAATCAAATGCAAGAACTTAGTTTAATCAATGTTTTAAATTTCCTAATCAATCAAAATATTCTTGATAAAGATACGCATATTGCAATAACAAGTTGGACTACATGGCCCATTGAAATTGGTCAACAAACGAATGAGTTAAGATCTGGTGGTATGGCTCATACTGCAAATGAAATCTTTGAACGGATACTAATACCACATTCATTTGCAAAATAAGTATCACATGTAGAGAATTAAATAAAACTATATCGAGAATTTATGTCGAAGATAAGATTATTTTCTATCAAGTAATTAATTACTCAAATTTAATCGTATTAATATATATTCGGACTTTGAAAATACGTTAATTTAGAAAAATGAAATAACATACATATTCTGTATTATCTAAATATCGATTTCTCTATTCTAAACTATTTACTCTTTCTTATAGTAAAGTTTCTCTATGTACAATCTATATTACAAAGGTATAAACATAATAAATTACTGATAACAAGTAAATGTTTTTATTTCGCTTGAATAGAATATACAAAAAAAAACTAAAACGAATAGAAAAAAAACATACACCATAATACATTAAGGAAAAATATCAGAATTTAATCTTTTATTCTTTTAGGACTAATTTTTTCTCCAGCTGGTACATGTGTACCTGGAGCAATCTTAATTTTTTTTCCAATCATTGTAATATCTCTCTTTGCTCCACCTCCAATGAGTGCTTGTTTACCAATAACAACTTTTTCATCAATTATCGATCGTTCAATAGTTGCTCCTTCTTCTACATGAACTTCATCGAAAAGAATTGAATCACGTATAATTGCTCCTGCATCAACAATGCAACCTGGTCCAAGAATTGATCGAATAACAGTACCATTGATTGTACAACCAGGTGATATCAGACTATTTTCAAAACGAGCTGAACTAAGCATATGTGCTGGTAAACGTTGCTAAAATATGAAAAACAATCAATAGAATATCTATTAAAATATGAATTAATTTCTTACTGCACTACGTGTTAGGATAGGCCATTCTGGATCATCTAAATTTAAATCACCTTTTTGTAATACTAAATCCATACTTGCTTGCCAATAACTTTCTGGAATACCAACATCTCTCCAATAACTATTCAAACGAAATTCCCATGCATTTCCTTCTTTAACTAATTGTGGTAATAAACCTTCACCATAATCTTTTAATTCTCCATCATCAGATAAACTATCAAGTGTATCCATTAATTTTGGATAATCATAAACAAATACTTCAGCTGTAACAAGATCAGATTTTGGTTGTTTTGGTTTGTATTCGAAATCTGTAACACGACCTTCATCGTTGACTTGAACAACACCAAAACGTGTAGCTGTATCTCCTTCTGGTAGTTTTGTTGTAACCATTGTTACATCAGCTTGATGTTCTTTATGAAAATCGATAACATCACGAAAATCAAGTTTATAAACATGATCGGCACTTAAAACTACTAAAAGATCAGGTGCGAATTTATTAAGTAAACGACGATGTCGATAAATAGCATCTGCATTGCCTTCAGCAAATCCACCATGTTCATCAGTTTCTATTTAATTATAATTCATAAGTATTTAATATAAAAAGATGAAAAATATAATCCCAGTAAAATAAAATACAACTCAAAGACAAACATTAGTTTTCCCAACTACTGTCATCACTGATAAGAAATTATCTTTTCAGTTAGCCTTCATAGAAAGACATCTCAGTAATTCAGACGGTTAGAAAAATCTATGCAGAGATAAAATAAAAGGAGTAATTTACTTTTACCATTTCCATCTTTGTTTTTTTTGTCTTTGTCCTTGTCTTTGCCATCATCTTTATCTTTACTTCCACTGCCTTGATCCTTGTCTTTGTCTTTGTCTTTGTCTTTATCTTTATCTTTATCACCATTTTTATCATCTTTACCACCATCTTTTTTATCTTTATCATGAACATCAAATGGTGGTAATATTTGAAGACCACCATATGTTCTATCCATGTCCCATGGACGTCCATTAGCTAGATGTTCATTTAATTCATGAAGTTCATATTGTTCAATAATCCAGACATCAGGTAGATGTGAATGACGGCAATTACTCATGGAAAAATCAATTAAACGAAGAGTTCCACCAAATGGAACAACTGGTTTAGCTCGTTGTTCAGTAAGAACATCAAGACGACCACCTTCACCACCAGCTAATATTAATGCTAAAATTTTACTACGTTTAGGTTTATCTGATCTAAGAAAAAACGTTATTATTTTAACATACATAAGAAAATAAATTACTTACTCGCCACTTTTGGAATGACTATCACTTCGATGTTTTTTTAGACCAACACTTTCCAAACCGGAACGAACTTTACTAACTAAACGAGATTGCATCTAGAATAGAATATTCGAAAGATAAATATGTATATAAATAAAAAAATTGTTTTCGAAAATGTTCGACTCCATCTTTAACGTGATACAATTTATAAAATGACAACAGACAATAAAAAAAAATGAATAGGGTTAAACAGTCGGTTACACCAATGACTCATCATTGTCATTTTGACCAATCAATATATCAAATAATTGAAATCTTATACAAACAAATTCTATATATTTAAAAAATGTAAATTACGAAATAAATTAGCTTTTAAATAATCTTTTTTTTCTTCTGATTAGTCTTCAGTGACATCTCAACGAATATAACGATAAAATAAACTTTATTGTTTATTACAAATAACAATGTCATATAGATGTTTATTAAAAAAACAGAAAATGATGGTTATATATTAATAAAAATGAAATAGAGTGTTTGAAATTAATTTTTTTTAATGTCTCTAAATCCATTACAAAACAAAAAATTCCTAAATTGTATCATTAATCAACAATAGCATTAGCTTGTTTTAATAATTTTACCAATTCACCTCGTTTTTCTAATGCACTTGTATCATCTCCACCACCAATAAATTTTCCTCCAATAAATACTCGTGGTACACTTCTTGCACCTGTTAATTTTCCAAGTTCATCTTGATAAGCATCTGCTTTTGATGGTAACTGATCAAGTTCAAGAACATGATAATTATTCCCTAATTTATATCTTGATAAAATACTTTTAGCTTTTGTTGAATAAGGACAATATGATTTCGAAAAAACCATAACTGGGTATTTCTTAATTAATTGTTGAATATGATCAGCAACAGATAAATCTGATGATGATGATGGTGAATCCGATGAAGATAATATAGAACCCATTTCAACTTTAGTATTAGTCCCACGGGATATATAAATAACAACAATAGAAAAAATAAAAATAAATAAAGTTAACCAAATACAAGTTTTAACACGCATCATATATCTATTAAGCTAAGCTCAAAAAAAAATTACATAATCGACCAGAAATACAACACGTAGATAGTGTTAATTGATTTTGCTGGTCTAGAGCCAATCCATAAATACAGAATGACTAATATCGAATTATATCGCTTATTTAAAATCATTCTCAGAAGATTAAATTTTTTCAATAATGATTATTCATTGAGTTATATATTCATATTATCAGTTTATACTTTTTCGTTTAATTACGATAGTTGATAAATACTGACACCTTTCGGACGACAGGAGTTAAGATAGTTTATCATCAAACAATAGTTAATGTTGATCGATGTAATGAAGAAGGAATAGTTGACCACATTGATGAATGATTTGGTTCGGTTTCCGATGTTGGTGGACTGGGTGATGTTTCAAAATATTTTTCAGTTTGTTCAAAACTCAATTTATTCTCATTAGTTTCAATTCGTTTTCGATAGATAATAAAAGCTACAACGGCAAGGATAATTGCAATAATGAGTACAAAACTAATAGATGAACCAGAAGTTGACGAAGCTGTTCGATCATTCGATTTATATTGTTTCTTTTGCTTTAAATTTTCATAATCAAATTCTAATTTCAATTGAAACGAAAAGAATTCGATATAATTATGAACAAATATTTTATCTCTAGAAAATATACTTGTAGTATCTTCGATTATTATTCGAGATGAAGGAAATACTGATGCAATCGTTGTTGTAGTTGTTTCTTTACTGAAAATTTTTTGGATAATATTTTTACCCCATTGAATAAAGCTTATAATATTATATACATAAATAGCCACTACTGCTATTGGTGCCGCCATGATAAAATTTTGCAAAGTAGAATAATAAACAAATACCAAGAAGAAAAAAAGAAAAAGCGCTTAAAAAGTCTTCTTTATAATCTGATACATATTTTCAAAACCTAGAGTCTACACCACATGACATTTTTATTTTTCTTATATTAAAAGAAATGATTTGGCGCATCATGCGTTCTCTCTCTCTCATATTATTTAAATAATGAATGCATCTGTAACAACCAAAGAAAATGTTCTCCATTCTAAACATAAATCATTGAATCAACAGCATAGAAAAAGATCAGCAGCTGGTATTCAAAAGAAAGACAATTGGTCTTTGGATGAAGTATCTGGAAAGATTCATCATTTATTGAAATCTATTAATACGATGTGTGATGAATCATCTATTACATTAGATGAAATATTAAAATCTTCTAATTCAACTTTAGGAAAACTTTATCAATTATTTTTGTCATTAACAAATAATAAAGATCATTTATTAGATCAAGAAATTTTTAATAATTTTATTTTTAAAAATACTGAAGGTTTAATAACTAAATTAAATCAAATAAATAAAAATCCAATGAATTTTATTCAATTTATCAAATACATTCAATATATAGCTAAACAAAATCAATTTAGTAACGAATATCTTTATGATAAAGTAACTTTAATCGAATATATTTTCCATGAATGAAGTTTTTCTTTTCATAGCTTTTACGACGAACATGTTTTATTAATAATCAAAATCAAAATAATAATGCTCTTGATTCTTCTAATATACTATTAGATGAATACAATAAAGATTTGTTTTGTCTAGAACAATATTTCATTAAATATAGTGAAAAATCGAATGATAATTCTTATTCAAAAATGAATTGTTCAACATTTATTAAATGTATTTGTCAAAATAGGAAATTAAATAAAGTTCATATTCGTCTTGAATTAAATGGTCTTTTTTATCAAATTCTATCATTACTGATCGATCAAGGTGTTTATATTTCTGGTTCTATTACAATAGATTTCTATGGATTTCTTTTATGTCTTCAACAGATTTCTCGAATATTTCATTTTAATTTAAGAGCTTTAATTAAAAATCTGATTAATAAACATCAAAAATAAACACAATATCGATATATTTATTTTGCTTATAGACGGTCTGATACGCTTGAAAGGAGTTTAGTAACATTACTGGGTATATAAATGGCGTCATTGTATGTTTCGGGCCAGTGAAGGGTTATCGATGAGTCTTTCTCATGTGACCCGAATAACATTATATTTTATCCTTACAATAGAAAAAGTATCAATGGGGTATCCTATTATGGAGTACGCCTATGTATTATTGTGCTTTCTTTACCTTTAATCGATTAATATACGCAAAGAAAAATCTTCTTTTGTTTTCATATAAACGTGACTTGAAAAAGTAAGGAGTGTTTTCTTACATTTCATTGTATTTTAAGATAATATGGAATATACTGCATTCACTGATACAGCATCTGTTTGTGATTTAAATACTACAATTAATTTAATAGAACATAATCAACCTGATCGAAGTGCTATTAATTATTTATGTCGTTTATGTAAAAATAGATTATTTCGAAAACAACAAACTGATCATATTACACCAGTTCAATGTCTTGGTCATCGATGTGAATTGTTAGAAAATGATATTATTCAACTTAAAGATCATGATATCAAATCACGTTTACAAATGAAAGAACTTGAAAATAAAATAAGTGCATTAGAAGATGTTATTAAAGGATTAACATCACCAAAAGACGAACAAGCTGCTCCATTTAATTTTGGTCCTGGAACTCGACGTCGTCATCATCTCAGAAGAACTAGTACAGAAGATGTATCAGTTCAGAAAGGAAATATCACCTATGATAATATTATACGTAGATCAAGTAGTCGCGAACGTGTCGGTCTCTTCGGAAGTCTTGGTGCAGCATCACAACAATATTAAATTTCATATAAAAACAATTAATAATGCAGAAACAAAAATCTATTTTAGTACAGAATTGTATTTACACAATATACATGCAGTAATATCAAATTGTACTACATATATATATATCAATATTGTTTTAGTTTCAAGAAACAGATAGAAAAAGTGACTAAATATACTTATTTATTATAAATAATAATAATTAATACATTATTTTTCTATATTTATTTTTTATTAAAAATAAAGCTGTTTTTAAACTGCAAGAAAAGAAAATAGAAATAATTATCAGTTATTTGAATAGTGAATGAATTACAAAATATTTATGCCTGTTTAGCTTTATCAAAGCTACTATATTTTTATTTTATTTTTGTAAAAGAAACAGAAATATGTCATAATAAACAATCAAAATATAAGAAATTTTAGTTTTTTTTGTAATTCAAAATGAAAATGTTATTATTTTTATACCCCTTGTTGTTCAAATTGTGACCAAGCTTCATTTAATTCAACAAAAATAAGTTTTGCTAATGGTTCATTTGGATCACCACGAAGCTTTAGAAATAAAAAAAGAAGAAAAGATTTAATTTAGAAAAAATAAACATTCACATATTTGTTGCGTAATTACTTTATCTGGATGAATATAAAGTACAGCTCTTCTATATACTTTTTTAACTTGATCAGGTGTTAGTAATTCACTCATTTGACAACCACCCCACTTACATTCAGGCCATGTTATATCTGATAATGAACATAATAATGCTCGAATATTCCGTTTTTTTCCTTCAGTCCATTCTCGAACCTATAATATTATTTATCAAAATCAAAAAAAAATGACTTCAAATTAATTTATTTTTACTTTCAATACTGTTGGATCAATGTCTTTCGCTACTGCAGCTTTTTGCAAATCACCTATTCCACCTGATGCTTCAGATTTAAACGTTCGTGGTGGACCATCCTTCCGAAGACAGAAATCGTCGGGCAACAATGAAGCAAAATTGGTTGTTGGTTTTGGAGCAGTTGGAGGTGGTTTTGATTTACGTGTATCTATTGATAAATTATGTCTATGAAATGTATCTAAAAAAAACATTTTTTCATTACTTGATTTTGGTTGAGAAGGAGGAGGAATATCTGTTTTCATTGTGACAGTGTAATCAGGGCTAGTTGATTTTGTAATAGATGGTTCAGTTGCAGCTAAAATATTAAAATAACAATGATAGAGTAAAGAATTGAAAAATAGATGATAAATGTTTGAGAGAATTCTTACGCGATGATTTTTGTGTTGTAGGAATTTTTGTTGCTGATATAGGTGGGCGTAAAGTTGATTGTGATAATATATTTTGTAAAGTAGGAGTATCTTGGGGTGGATCATCATCAAGAAGATTTGGTCCTGAATCCGTACTTGAATAAAATCCACGTTGTTGTAGATCAGTTGATGGGGATATTACAAAAATCTCTCCATTCTTTGGACTATCCCCATTAATTTTAAATAGAGGAGCAGTATTATTTTCTTCTTTATTTAGTTTATCATCGATTGGTAATGATATTGGTGATGAAGGAATTTGTGATGATCTTGGACTTGTATTCGCGTGTTGTTTAAATGGATTATATAAAGGATTAGATAATATTTGTGGAGATTGTGGTAAACCTGGAAATGAATCAGAAAATCGACTACCTTGCGATGACATTGAATCTTCTTTTCCTTTTGACAAACGATGAACAACAACAGGTGCAGGAGATACTGGAACTTCTTTTTTATCAATTATTTCACCTAATTTAGAATTATTTTTTAAATAATATGAATTAAATACAAAAAAATGATTACTTACTAAAATCATTTGTTTTTTGTTTTAATTCATCTTCATCTCGAAATAAAGCCAACGGTTGTTTGAATGTTTTATCTAATTCTTTTGTAAATGAATCTTGTCGATTGATTGACGACTGTTGTTGATTAATAATATCTAGTGTAATACGAAATAGAGTTGGATTTTTTTCATTATGATCAATTTCATCTAATTCATTTCTTGAATATGATAATTCCGGATGATTTAATGTACTAAAATTTGAATTTACTGTTAATTCACATATACGAACTCCACCTTCCTAATAGAAAATTTTAAAATAGAATTCTTCTTCTTATTTTTAATGAAAATAGATTTACATGAGTGTGACGTGGAGCACAAAGTGCTGCATGTGTTATGTGAATTGTTATATCACCATCAAATTGAAGATCTATTGGAATAGTAATACAAGTATCCGATGCATAATAAACTCTTGAAAATAAAAATATATACTTTTATAAATAAAGAAAAAGAAAAATTTCCTAACCGAAGTTTTGGTATTTCTTGATATGTTGAAAAAATCTTTTTATGTTCTTGATCATATATATCAATGAATGGGCGACAACTATTTCTATAAATCAACAAGAAAAATAATTAAATTTAATAAAGTCGAATAACAAACTTTTTTATATTAACAAGTGGTACTGGTGATAAATTTATTGATTTAAGAGTTAATTTATTAAAATGTGGATGTTCAATAATACCATGTGATAAATCGCATAAATATTGAATATATCTATATAGAAAAAATATTATTTTTATTCAAAGAAAAGTTAATAAACCTTTTCTGTGACATTGTTAATGATGAATTTAAAGATCGATGATGTTGATAATATTTAATAATTTGATCAGCTTGTGGTAAGATTTTATGATATGCAAGTAATGAACATACTCCATATGCTAATTGATTTTTTCCATCCTATTCGAAAAGAAAAATTTTTTTTTTAATTCGAATTCTAAATAACTTACATTGCAATCAAGTACAACGACATTTGATGGTGATTCAAGTAAATATGATGTAATTTTTTGACAAAACCATAATAAACTAACTAAAGATGGTGATTGTTTATCATCAAATAATGGTATTTCAAGAACCTTTGAAATAAAATATTCAATTTATTTTTTAAATAAAGTTAATTTCAAAACACAAACTCGATTATGAAAGATTTCTTTTGGATAAGATGATTCATTGTTTGAAGATTGATCAAGAAGATAAAGCATATAACAATTAGGATGTTTTGTATCAAGTATATCACGTATTGATTCAGCTGTTGAACGAGATGATACATCAGATGAATTGTCACGAGGTGTTGTCATTACTAAAATAATATTCATTAAAAGACCCTCTTCTCAATTAAATAAATATATAATAGATTACCGATTACTCTTGGTGTAATATAACAAATATCAAGTTCAGGTTGATGATTTGAAGTTCCATTTGACGTTGAACCATTTGTAGATGATGATGTTCTAAATTAAATGTATATTTTTTTTTAAACCAAAAAAAAGTTTATAAAATATTTTACGGTTTAGGTTGTGACATACTAAAAATTTTCATCCAATACTTTCCTGTTGTGTTAACTGACGAAGCTGGTGTTTTTGGTCCTCCTAAAATTAGAAAAAGTTATCGTTTTTTTTTCAAAAAAATGAAAAAGTTAATTTTATACCTGATTGAATATTTTTATTTGTCGGCATTGTTGTTTCATTTTTATCGATAGGCATAGTACTAAGTGTTTCCTTAAAATCTTTTTTAATATCTTTGATAGTTTTAGGAGCTGGTTCTCGTTTTGTATCCATATAAAATCTTTTTTCTTAGTAGGTAAACTAAAAATAATGTCTCTTATCACTCAAAATTCTCGTGCTACCTAATATATTAAAGAAGACCAAACACTTCCTTTTATACAGAGATATAAAATAGATCTTTTTCTCTCTCTCCAACTATCAGATCCAATAGCAGAGACAGGTTATGTATACAAAGAAGAAAAAAAAGATAAAAGAAGGTAAAGGTTAAATTATGCGTCCTTCGACGAGAATCTTATCTTTTTTTTTTTGCTTTAAATTATTTGTCTGCCACGTGTTAATTTATATTCTCTATCATATGATCTTGTAATTATCAACGGACAATTTTAATTCATATAAATATCAATGATATATAAGAAAAGAAGAAAATTTTCTTTTGTTAGTGTGTATCTAATAAATATCTTGAGTTATGTGAAAAACGTAAAATGTTAAACATCTGACTAACTTATCTGTACTCAGCTGAGTTGAAGTCCAAAGGTATTCATAAGATCCATGAAATAAAAATACGAAAAGAAAAAAGTACTTTTTACTCAGGTAGAAATACAATTTAAATATCTTTATCATTATTTCATCTAATTTTTAATCGAAAACAATCTATAAAATAATGAAAATGATATAGAGTTAAGAATAACATAAAAACTGTTCAAAATATAGCTAGAAAAAAGAACGCATAAATCAATTATCACTTAATAAGAATTTGAAGTGGATTTTCAAGTAAAAATTTCAATTGATTTGAAAATCTAGCTATTGTTCCTTCATCAATAATACGATGATCAACTGACCAACTAACAGACATCATTGAACGAACTCGATATGAATCAGATTCATCTTCATCTTGTGCAACTGGTTGTCTCTATAAAATATCAAATGAATTAAAATAATTATAACATGAAGTATTTTAAAAATATCTCAACATTAGAGCCCGCCGTGTCCGGGTCTGAAAATTTTGTTTTAACCGGGTCCGGGTCCAGGTCTCGAAGCTTTTTCTGACCGGGTCCGGATAAAAAAAAATATATTATCGACACGATATTTTTATACTGCTCGGTGAACATGAGAATGCCATTTTGGAATTGAAAACTGGTTGATAGATCTTCAGAAAACTAAATCAAAAATCTTTTTTTGTTCTTTTTTTTCCTCCTCAGTTTTGGTTTTTGGATAGCTACGACTAAAAAATTTTCTAAAGGTACAGTTCGAGTTCAGACTAGTGCTCGTCGAAATCGGGTCCAACCCGGACCCGGACCCGATGCCCGGTCCGGGTCCGGGTCTACCGAAAGTTTTTTGAACGGGTCCGGGTCGGTTCCGGGTCCAAAAAAACGTGGACCCGGCGGGCTCTACTCAACATAGATAAATCCTATAACATTTATCTATGTTGATTCACTTAATAGTATATTCGAAAATATCTTACAATTATTTTTCCTAATGCACCAATAGCTACTTGAGGTAGAAGAAGAATAGGTACAGCATATGTTCCACCGATCTATTATAATAAATATAATCAATCTATCGAAATAAAAAATGAAATCTTACATCACCGATATTTGATAATGAAAATGTTCCGTTAGTAAGATCTTCTTCTAGTAATTTTCCATGATGAGCAAGTTCTTGTAAACGATTAAATTCATTTTCAATTTGACTAATTGATAATTGTTGAACATTTTTTATATTTGGTACAAGTGGACCATCCTTTGCATCAATTGTAAAACCAATGTTATGAGAAGCCTTTAATTAAATTCTTTTCATAAAAAATTTCTTTTTTAGATTTAAAATCTTACTTTATATAGAATTGTTTCACATTTTGAACCAATATGAGAATTAAGAATAGGATAATCAATTAGAGTTTGTGAACATGCTTTTATTATAAATGGTATATGAGAAAATTTTCTTTTTTCATTATTGAGTTGTTTTCTTATTTGAACTAATTGTGTCATATCATATTGATCACAATAGGTGAAATGTGGTATTGAATTAGCTTGAGTTTTAATCTGAACAAATGCTTTACGGATGTCTTTCCGATCAGTAATAGATGATATTTGAGATTGATTGGGAGTTGTCTTAAGTTTTGATGAAGAAGATACTGGAATTGAATGAGATTTTGATGATTGTTTAGCAAATATTGGTGATAGTGGAGGAATTCTTGAATCTAAGAGTAAAAAATATAGATTTGATTTATTTTGAAAAACGAAATTTAACGAACTAGATCGAGAAGATTTTGATAGTGATGATTTACTGGATTTAAAAATTAATAAATCTTCTTCAAGAATTCTTCCATCTTTTCCTGTACCTTGAATATCATCTAATGATATCTAATTAAAAATAAATAAAAAATCTAAGACAATTTCTATCATTATAAATTACTTGTAATTCTTTTGCCATTTTTCTGACTGTTGGAGTAGCTAAAATATTTGTTAATGAAGCTTTTCTTAATACTGCTTTATTAAATATATCATTTTGCATAATATTTGAATCTAAATAAATCAATTTATTTTTATATTAAAATCAAATTTTATTTTCTTACTTTTAGTTTTAGTTGATAATACAATTTCTTGTTTAACTTTAATATCAACAAGTGGTTCACCAACTCGAGTTACATCATGAGCATTATGATAAAGTTTAACAATAGTTCCATCATATCGAGATGTTATTGTTACATTTGCTTTATCTGATTGAATTTCACAAATTTTATCAAATTGTTTAACATGATCACCTACTTGAACATACCTGATTTATACAGAGAATGAGAGATTTTTTCTTATTAAATGAAACAAACCATTCTAGAAGTTCAACATCACGTATACCTTCACCAATATCAGCTAATTTAAATTGAATAACAGATGACAAGCGAGATGAACTTATGGAAAATAAACGACATGGAATAAACTAAATTGATTAAATAGGAACATGTTTATTTTATTAGAAGAAATTTTTACCATTGTGAAATTGGTATTTGAAAATAATGGTATTGGAATTGTTTGTTGTGTAGAAGAGAAATTTGAAGATATAAGACGAAAATAACGATGATATGAAGAAGATCGATTGAGCAGATTTTGAGAATATGGATAAGATAAAATAATATAACGAAAAGCCGAATTTCTATATGCAGATCGACTTAACATTATTCTTAAATCTTAAATAAAGACAAAATTCAGTTTAATATATATATATTACTACATAGAAATTCAGTTTAATATATATATATTACTACATAGAAAAATGTATTTCGTTTAAATTTTGAATTCTATGATTTGAATTAAAATTATTGGTTCATTTTCAACTAGTCATTTTTCTTTTCTTTATCACGATGAGATTAAATAAATGTGAGCATGTATCCCGGTAGACGCTATATTACATATAACAAAAATAAATGTATTAATATTGAATATTAAATCTCGGTCTATTAATAATAATTCTTTTAGTTTTCAAAAAATTTAGATATGCTGAAACATATTTGCTCTTTATCAAAAAATATGATTTAGAGATGGATATACAATTGAATTCTATATTCAATGGTAATCATTGATCAAAAAGTATAATTTGAATGAAAATACTGGGTAAAATTAATTAGTCATTCAGTACTTATTATTTAACAAGAAAATTTTATCGAAACTTTATGTAATAAAATCGAATATGTTATCATTCGTATATTTAAGAAATAAATATTAGATATAAATAACAAAATTTTACTAGTTTTGAAAAAAGTCGATTTTTACTTTTGTCGATATTGAAATCGTTTTGTTTTAAATATTCTTGATGAAAAAGATATATTTTTGTGAAATACAATTTGAAGTGAGTGTAAATGTATAGAAAGAAATTTTGATTCACTCGCTCTCGTAGATGGAGTATGACAGCAATAAGCCGATCCTCCATTGTGAAAAATTATTTGTCTTTTACGTAATAGAGATTATGATAAATAAAATCCATAAATAGATTATACTTTATTAAAAACAAATGTCGACTAATATCTTTATTAAAATATTTGGTTTTTTCCAATGGCTTACATTCGACAATAAAAGAAACACATGAATATATCAATAGCTTGAATTTATTCAGAAATAGATAATATTTTTTAAATAAGTCAACTTTTTGTTATGTATGATCGAAATATCGCAGTTAAAAAATGATCTGTGATATAGATAGTCAAACTATGATCTTTTTGACTGATATTCTATGAATCATCACTCAATATAATCGTTTCTGTTTGTGATGTTAATAACCAACCATACATATCTGTTCATGATTTTCGTATGCCTCTATAACGATTTCCATATTTTTTCTTTATTCATTGGATTTATTTTCAAGATAACGAAAAGCGCGAGTAGAAAGAAAAAGATATGTTAAGTGAAGATCGTTCAATATCAACGGCTAATGCATTGGCTCGTTGGTTTCAATCATTTCAATGTAAGTTCTCAAATTCTTTTATTTTCTCTCCTTTTACATACTAAATTAAATAGCTGATATTAACATCGATGGAGATAATTTACATTGTTTAACATCAAATTCGAATTTACAAGATATTTGGTTAAAAATAATTCGACATTGTCATCCAATTGATTATGTCAAGTAATTTCTTAATTTAAAAGATAATTTTCATAATAAAATTTTTGAATTTTTTAAAGAAAAGTAAAAGAAACAATACAAATTGCAGAATTAAAAGAACGTCATCCAGATCGTTGGGAACAACATAAAAATGCTCAAATTCAACAAGGACAAATTGAACAAAGAATTAATCTTCGTTTACGTGAAATTTATTCAGCACGGTCAGAACAATCAACAAATATTTTTAATGAATTAAATCGTGTTCAAACAATGATTAATGATGAATATATTCTTATATCTTCACTTAATAAACAACTTCAAATTTATCGTCAATTAGTTTCTTATTTAAGTGAATTAGTACAATATAAAGAACAATTAAATTTATTAACATTTACAAATCAAACAAATCAACAAGGTGACTTTTGTAATTTTAATTTTAAATTGAATTTTTATATATGAAAATATTTTTTAGAATTGATTCGAGAATTACTTAATACAAAAACTTTATTAACAGGAAAATTTCAACAATCAGTTAATTTAAATGATTTATGTTCGAATATGAATACATTTATTCAACAACGAATTAATCAATTCAGGTTAGTTCAGATTTATTAAAGGCGACTACAAGGTGTTGACTCAAAAATGGATTTATAGAGGAAGACTTTCTTTATATAGTAGTGCATTTATTATGAAATTCTATTATACACTGTGACAGAAAAATTAGCATAAGACTTAGTCCAGTTGTGAATGTGTTTATACCGTTTGATAGCTCATAGAGGGAAAGTAGTCAAATGTCGACAAAAAAATGTTGACAAAAAAATGTCGAAAATTAAATGTCGACCAACAAATGTCGAAAACCGAATGTCGACATCATGAAATTCAAAGAGGGTGGGTGTAAGTAAGGGTATGGGTGAGGATTTGTGTGAGGGTGTGGGTGAGGGTGTGGGTGTAAGCTGGAAGAGGAGATGTTCATATCCACACGCACACTCACCCTCATGGTAGAATTTTCGACATTTTTTTATACGTCGACATTTTGTTGTCGACATTTTTACTTGTCAATATTTTTTTTTCGACGTTTGACCACCAAATCCTCATAGATGTTTTGCTTTCACAGTTTGTATTTTTGTCTTCCCGACACTTAAGTCATATTGTAATTTATGATAATTTAGAAAATACATAGTATAATCTTCTATCGAAACATAATAATTCAAAATTGCAGTAATCACATTTATAGTAAAAGAAATTGTAAATCGCATAAGAAGCGAAATACGAAAATCTGTTAATCTATACTTTTATTTTTCTCACAGCGCATAATAGAATTTCATAATAAATGCATCATTAAATAGCGAAAATCTTCCTCTGCAAACTTACATATGGGCAAAATCATTTGTTAGCGACATGACGTAAAAAGGACATCAACTTTCACTTCATGTACTTCAATTGTAAATTTCAGTGAATCTTGACGTTATCTTTCGAAACTAAATAGTACATTTTGTAGACGACTGTTAACACTACAAAATAACTATACAACGCTTTTTCTAATTACGCTTATATTTTACAATAATTAGCGCTCATCTGGCGTTAGCGACGTGACAGAGTACGACTGTGTGAAGAAAAATTTACTCGTATAACTGAACAGAAAGTTACAAATTAATTTCAAAAAGTGTAGATCTATCTTTAGAATCGAGAGTATATACTGACATAAAAATTTCTGTTTCAAAGACTCATGGGAACCATAAAGGGTCATTTTTTAAGAAGGAAATTTTATGAAACCGATTTAGCTGAAAATTTTACCATAGATGCAGCCTATATTGAATAGTCATCCCTGAAATTTTGAGATGTTTTTAGCATACGGTAAGCGAGATATTCACTAATTAATTTCAACTAATAGTCAGTAGAAAGAGCACACATTTTTACCTATGTCTATGCTAAAATAAACTTTCTAATTAAAATGCTCTTTTATAGAATTAATAAGGAATGAGAGAGGCCAATATCCTGTTTTGCCCATATATTCTACTCTTGAGTCAATATCTTATAGTCGTCTTTGATGATTTTAATTTATTTGTTTTTTTTTGTTTAGTAAAATCCAGAAAGATGAACAAGAATCAAATTCAACTATTATCGAAAGTTATGAAGAAGCATTGACAAAAACAAATTTAGATTTCACTAAACAGTATAAGATAAATATAATTTTATTTTTTGTAACATATTTAAATTAGATTTATACATTTGGCAAATATTCGTATGGAATGTAGTAAACTTCGTAATCGTCTTGAAGATAGCAAACGAGAAGTTTTATCTCGTCGTGCATCAAATGAACAAACTCAATTAATGTCTATTCTTGATGCAATGATTGCAGTTAGTTTAGAAATAAAATTTATAAAAATAATTTCGTTGTTTATTATTTTTATTTTAGAGTAAATCAGTTGAAGTTCATATAAATTTTTTAAAGAAGAAAGTTCAAACAGAACTTGAACAAATAAAAAAATTCGATGAAAAACCAATATTACGTATTCATCAACAAATAACTGAACAACGAAATGAACTTAATCGAATTGATAATCAATTAAATAAAATAATTCAAGAAAATCCTTTAGAAAAATTAGAAAAGTAAAAAGAAAATATATTTTTTAATAAGAATAAATTAATTCGTTTAAATAGACTTGAATTAAAAATTCGTGATTATATTCGACTTATTAATGATCTTCCACGATATTTTCATTCATTAAATATAATGCATTTATCATTATCAAATGATCTTCGTTCGAATTTATTAACGTGGCCAATTGAAGAATTTTCTCGAATTAATTTAATCAATAATTCAATTGAATCTCCTCCAATATCATTAGTACCTATTCCAACACAAACTCCACCAACACCATTAACTTCACTTAAACAATTACTTGGAATTCGAACACAAGATACAATAGTGCTTGAACCACCATTAACAGAAGATTATTCATTAAAAGAAGAAAATCAACGGTAGAAAATTTTTTTATTAATTAATAAAATAAATCTTTTTATTTCAGTTGGGATATTGATGTAAATGAAAATGATGAAATATTAATTAAAAAATTTCCATTAATATCATCAATTAATTGGGATATTTTAACAAATGTTGATAATCAAATGGAAGAAGCATTGAAACAATGTCAACAAGATTCTACTCAATATGAACAATTTTTTCAAAATCTTATCAAAGAAGTTCATAATTTTTCTTTTCGTTTTAATTGAATTTTTATTTTTGTTTTTATTTTAGATACGAATCTTACAATATGAATATACAGAAAAACCGGCTTTTCGTTCATGAATATTTTTCTTACTATTCACACTTTGTATAAAGTCAAATTAAATAGAATAAAATAAAACATGTCAAATAAAAAGAATTTTTATTCATTCGATTTCATAGAAATTATCGCTGCGGGAGTTTCGAGGTTTACAAAAATTCTGTTTTAACAGAAATTCTACATACTTTTTTTCTTGACTGTATCGAAAAATGATGGTTTACTGAATCCTGTCAGTTGCTGACCTCCTGTTAAGTTGTTACAATCGAGCTGAAGTTTTTACCTCATATACTTCTTACAGATTTAGAGAGCTCCGAATATTCTGATCATAATTCTTGATCAGAAGCTTTATGTCTCTAATTGTAGATAAATATATAAATTGGTAGTTTTGCTTTAAGTTTATCAGAGAATCTATTCAATTATTTAACACTAGTGGATTTTATATATTTAGTTTTACAGAACTTGTAGCTATTCACTGAAAAATTTAGATTAAACTTAAGAATTCGTGACGTATTCTCTATGGAACAGAATCGATCAATCAGTTTGAAATTTCGATCGCTCGAATCTTTTTAAATTTTTTACTATATTTCGATATAAAAACATTTAAGATAAATTCTCGTCGAAAACTATAAGTTAAAAATTCATTCATCATATCTAACAACAGAATTATCTGAACAATATTCATTTTATTATAAACGCTAATTTAGCTTTAATATAATCGAAATATTGTTCTTATGTTTCTGTTCAGAAAAACAAAGAACAAAATCAATCAGCTGACTGACATTAATTAACTTATTTGTAAGTTAAATGGCATTGTCATCAGTATCAGTTGCTATTCATCGAGATAATTCTCCATCTCTTTCACCTCTATCTCCAACTATTATTCATTATCATAAAAAATATCAATTATCAAAAATTTCACATCAATATCATCGAAAAATCGAACGACATCATCGTTTTCCTAAGCAACAACAAATTAGAAAACCAAAGCATAGAAATTCTTCATTTCAATATCATTCTTATAATCAAAAATCAAATAAAGTTTCTCAACGACAACAACGTCAATCAACTAGTATATGGGAAACACATCGAAGTTCAAATGGACGAATTTATTATTATAATACGATTACAGATCAATCGCAATGGGAAAAACCATCACGAGATCAATCTAGATCAACATCATCTTCAAAAAGAGTAAGATATATTCAATTTTTCATTATAAATCTTTAGATTTTAAAGTCTATTCAATCTACATTAAATTTAATATCTGACGATGATGATGATATTCGATCAATTGATAACAATAAAAAACAAAATAATTCTATAAATTCTCGACAAGGAAAAGATAATATCGAACATTTTGAAGAATTTCTCGAAGAAAAAACAACTCCAACATCACCACCACCAAATGAAATTATTCAAATTGATCATGTTGATCCATTTCCAACATTCGAGCCTTCTCAACATCAATCATATGAAGATACATTCAAAAATTCACATTTACAACCAAGTCTAAGTACAATCAATGCTATTTTACAATTACAATATTTACATTCGAATTCAAATGATATAAAACAATATGATCATAATAATTTAAATGAACATTTACTTAATTGGCCAATAACACAAAATGAATGTGAAAGAATTCGAATTGAAACATATCAATTAATATCATTACGTACAGAATTATATATTCTTCGACTTCGATTTCAACGAAATCGTTTCTATTTACTTAAATATTCTCATAAATCATAAAACTTTCTTTTTGTTGAAAATTCTTTCGAAATAAATAAATAAATAAATAAAGATAATATAATTTGCTTTAACCGGAATTTATTTGCTTGTCAAAAACAAACAAGATGTTAAAAGTTCCAGAAAAGTTAAGGCTTCATAATACAAAAAATAAAAATGAAGAGGGAAAAAATACCTAATAGTAAGAACATACAAACATCAGAAAATTTTAACTAACTAACTAACTCTCAACTCTCAATTCTGATGCCGTTATTGTTGATGTTGTTATTTAATAACCGTTTGATTGAACACGTTGTTCTTGTTGACGGATTGGTAAGAATGATTTTGGTTTGATCATTTGTGGAGCGGAGTATGATGAGTATGATTGAACTGGTGTTTCAATACGATCTTGTTGTGGGAATGTGAATTCGGTTTTTGATCCGTAGTTGGTGACTGGAGTTTCATCTTGAAGGAAGACTGTTTTTTGTTGAAGTGGGGCACCATATGATGATTTAACTTGAACATCACGGAAGAGTTTTGGTTGTTCGAATGATGGTGTGCTGTATGATGAACCGTATGATGATGTCATTTTTGGTGTTTCATCGAATGAGGCACCGATAACACCGACAAGGTCTGGCCAGACACATGATTTGTTAATGTCATCCCAAAGTGTACCACCTGGGCATGATTCAACGAACATTGAGTCACCGTCGCACATGATGAAACCTTTATCACTGAAAGCTAATGGGAATGTACCATCAATACCTTTGCATGGGCTTGGGTGAACTAAATAAATAAGAGAAGAATTTAATTAGTTTTTTTTTTTAACTAATAAATAAATATGTACCTTGGCTTGATGTAAGACCATATGATCGACCACCTTGAAGGATACACATGTGTGTAAGAGCAGCTTCCCATCGGAATGATTGGCATTTAGCGTCGAATGATGTACCGCATGGTTGTTGTGTGTGACAAACTGTAGCATCTAATTCACAGATACGACCATCGAAACCTGTGGCACATTGGCATTTGAATGAACCATCAGTTGGGATACATTGACCGTTGTTAAGACATGGTGATGAAGAACAGAAGTTTTCGAGTGGACCCAATTTACGTTCACATCGGCGTTGTTCTGGGTGATATAAAAGACCTTTTGGACAGAATTGTTCATAACCTTTGCTTTCACCAAGACAGACAATGAATCGTCGACCACCATCTAATGGGATGACGGTATCAGCAATTTGACCACGACAGAGGTTATCAGCTTCAGTTGGCATTGTTGATTCGGCGATTTTAGCTTTTAATAAATCGTTTTGTTGAGCTAATAATTCTGATTGTGTTGGGAAGACACGTGATTGGAAGACTTGTTTGCCATATGATTGTTCTTGTTGTGGAACGATCATTTTGCGTGGAGCTGAGTATGAATCATAACCACTTGAGATTGGTTTTTCAATTGGTGTTGTTGGTGTTAATTGAATGTCTCGTTGAACTGTTTCGAAGCTTGATCCGTAGTTGCTTTGAATTGGTAAATCACGCATAACAGTTGTTCGTGTAAGTGGTGCAGATCCATATGAATCAGCATATCGTCCGAAAGCTGAGCTCGACAAAGCGAGTAAGCAGATAAATGCAATCTATTTAAATTAAAAATATTTGAGATAAAAATATTCAATAGAAAAGAATATCTATACACATACCATAGCCATTGAATAGCTTGTTAGTTTAATATTCACTTGAGAGGAGAATAGTGATGATATGCAGTTAGAGATACCTTTTTATACTCCTATCCTATCTTCACTGAACAAGGGATTACGAGAAAAGAAAGAGAGAGTGATATCATATGATATCATATCACTCTGTGTTTTCTATCTTTATGCATATATGACTATAGTATTCTCTTTCTTTTACTAGATAGGTCATTTCGATCGAGGGGTTGAATACAGAAGAATGAATAGGCAAACGTATACTTATTCGTCATCTGTTAGTATACAACAAATATCTCGTATAGCATATTCTTTTATTTTCGAAGTATACCATTTCGATCGAGGTAAATATGTTTACATAATAGATTTTAACAATTCAAGTCTAGTAATCATACGAGATTCTTTTTTTGTATTACACTCTTTAACATTTATTTTATATGAAAAATTATTTCCATTAATATTATTAAAAAACAGACAAATCTGTGTCATCAACAAAAGTTTAAAAACAAATTACAGTGATTTCTCTTTTTTAAACAGATTAATTATTTTTCAAAATTAGATGTTGCTTGAAAACGTATTTTATACTATAGAATAGATAATATTGTTTAACATATGTTGAATCATTTCTAAGTACACTTTTAATTTTCATTCTAATTATCATTGATTTCTTATTCTTCTACAATGATTATATAATACCATGTTTCAAAATTACTATTAGTATACCATTGGTAGAATCGAATAAAACTCAACAATTTTTATTGTTAAAAAGAAAACTAAATTTTAGATTTTAAGCATATGTTTTTGTTTTATTATAAGATTGTTATGAATATGTATTTGAGATTTTAAACGAGAATATAAAATGAAGAAAAAGTTTCATGATGATATTCTTCGAATTTTAATTCAATCGTATTTGTATATATCAATACAAAAAGAAGGCAATGTTCGACAAAATAATTCAAATATTTCCATTTCTGACTGATATTATAACAAAAAATCAAATATGAAAAATATTATTTTAGTCGATTTTAAAATCAGTTTTATATATCATATTAAAATATTAGTATATAAATCAATAATAACTATAGTAAGAAATATTTGAAGATTTATATGAAAAATTATATTGGTTTGAGAAGATGTATTCTGGACTATTCGATTAGAATCAAAACAAAGGAAAGGCAATGTACCTTTAGAAGAGGTTATCACATACATCTCGAATATTCGCGTCATGTATAGAATGAAAGAATAAACATCTGATGACAAAGAGAGAGCGAAAGAATGTTTTCATTTTATTTTCATAAGAAGTATAATACGCTATGGTTTAAATGTTTATTTTATACTGATATCAGCAACGAATTTGTGTGATAAATATTAGTTAAATAAAAATAATTAACTTAAGAACTTATTTTATTCAATCAGAAAAACGAAAAATTTGTAAAATTTTCTATTTTTATTAATTAATACAAAACATAATGTGTTCTTCACTCGGACATGTTATAAAGAATATCTATTCTCCAGTATGACAATAATATATATGAATAACACCATAGAAGAAAAATCACGATTATATTTATATCAACGAATAAACAATGTCGAATTCATTCAGTTTTATAAAATTAATTAACAAAAACAACTCTATATTTTTAAATCTTATCTCTCATTAACACAACGATATAATCTTTATAATATTCTATTAAGTCTAAATACATGTTTACTGAATAATCAATAAATTATATTTTTATATAAAGTTATCCGCGTGATGATAAATAATCATTGTGTAAAATGAAAAATTTGAGAAACTTTAATTATTCTATTGGAATTTATCCGTAAATAAATAATTCTCTAGTTTACTGCATTATTTATATGTTAATATAGAAAGTATAAGATAATAAGTTATTTTTGGTTTTATCTATCAACAAGAATAAGTGGCGCATCTAAAAAATATTGATTGATTGATAATGTTTGATAGTGTATGTCAAATTTTTCGTTTTTTATGTCAATTCTATCATCAATGTATCAAGGTCAAAATCTTCAATAACACTTATATTCTTAGCTTCTTTTTCCTCTATTAAAATAATATATATATACAAATATTCATCTGAAAATTGATATTATTACTTGATATGAAGATATTATATAAATAATCATATGCATAATATAAAAAAAGAAGAAAAAAAATCGAAATGAAGTTTTCTTTTCCTTTATGTAAAAATCGAAAGATCACAATATAGACATTTATTTGAAATTCATTTCCTGTTTTGTTTTCTTTCCTAATCGATATAAGAACACCTTTAGTCAATATAAACGAAAGTGTCTGTTAAGTAATAATGTTAGTCATTTAGTATAGAGTTGTTGATCTATGTGTCAAACCGAACAACATACTCTTTCCTTTTTCCTTTTACCAGTTATATACCAGCTTTTGCCTTGTCTTTTTATGATCGATGTATTATGCCGTTGCTGTTCTCCTTAGATATATATATATAAGCAAGTCTTAGGATAGAATATCTTTTCTCTCTCTCTCTTTGCCTCATCATTACAACCATTTCATCTTCTCATTATTAACATCAACAAGGATATTGAGTCGCACAAGTCTAGTTGTTGACGGAGAAACAAAGATGAGATCGTTTCTCAGGCACCAAACAATTTCCTAGTAATAGAAAAAGAAACTAGATGATTTTTCTTTTTTTTTCTAAAGAAAAGAATATTATCTACTTTTTTTTTTCTTGCTTCTTTTCATAACATTCATCAAACAATTATATTCTATTAAGTATGTATTTCTATATTATAGAACAAAAAAAAAACCGATGTTTATTATCTAATATAACAAATTTTTATTTATTTATTTTTCTCTCAAAAAAATAAATCATAGATTTGTCGACATCTGTTAAAATAACAAAATAAAAAACAATTATTAATTAATAATCATTTTATTTCAGATTGATTTTAAATATATATTCATTATTAATCGTTATTGATCCATTATAAATTAACACGTATTGGATCATCATCGATGAACTCATCTGGCGGAGGAACATCTCATACTTTAAAAGCATCATCACCAACTCAGCAATATTCGTCTACAAAACGAAATCAAAATTCAACTTCAACAACTGATCTACGTGATTTAACAACTACACTTCATGAATTAAATAATAATTTTAAACGAAATATTAAAGTTTTAACAGAAATTAAAGATTATATTACGAAAGTATGTGAAAAACAAGATTCACGACTAGTTGATGATAATTCCGGTGTACATAAACTTGATCGGGTAAGATTTTCATATTTATTTTACAAAAACAAAAGTCAATGAGAAAGAATAATTCTTTATGACTCAATAATTTATTTTTTCTATAAATATTCATGAAGAATTCAAAGAATTCTTTTTAACTACATTTTATTCAATCTGACAAGCAAGAACCGAATGAATCTAATTAGTAAATTTCATTGGTCCAGAAGAAATTACAATAGATAAGAAATAGTATAATAGTCATGTCCTTTGAGTATTAACAAAAGAAAAGAAAAGAAAATTCATTATTGCTAGTTTAATTATTCTAACCATAACATTCTACAAAATGATTAATAAAAAACGACAAAAGTTTTTCAAATGAGAGAAAAAAAAAATCTTATCTAAAGTGATAGTGATGTAATATTAACTAAGATATATAATTCTTAATAATGTGGTGCTGCATAAGCAGGTGGTGGTGGTGGTTGATAAACACTATCAATTTGTTCTAAATCATCGATTTGTGGTTGACAAAATTGTCCACAAACTAATGTCCCAATGGCTAATATTAATGAAACAAGTAATGATAAAACTCCACAAATAAAAAGAAGAACATTGATTATAAGTTCTTTTTGTTCCATTGATGTTCTTTGATCAGCATTAAGACGACCTTCGAATATATAACGTTGAAAAATAAGAATTGATGATAAAAATAGAAAGAGACTAATAAATATTGATATGAAAGAAAGACATGATAAAATTCTCATTGATATTAAAGTTTTTTCACGATGTGAGATTAATGCAAATATTCCAAGAGCAATAAAAAACAGGCCACACCATATTCCTTTACCAAGTGTTGGCCATATTGATTGTTCAGAATGAGCACTTGAAACAGATAATGGCGTTATAACATTATTTATTGATGAATAATAAACAGTTGAACGACTATAACTTAGATCAATTGATGATAAAATAATTGATGTTATACCAAATAAAATTAAAAGAGTTCCAAGTGGAATAATAAAACTAGTTGAACGTGAAACAAGTTTTGTTGCATAGAGATTTTCCATTGTGTATCAATATTTAATATGAATAGATTTGAATGAGAAAAGAGTGACCGTTTAGATCAGGTCAACACGTTATGGTTGAATGAATACGAAAATGAAGAAGAGATAAAGTTCAACAATTTTCTTCGTGTTTTTTTTTTCTAATTTCGATTTAATTTAATTTTAGGTAACGGTTGAATTACGTTTAGTATTTTTAAAACTTGGAGAAATTGATACATTAAAAGAACAATTTCAAGCTGAAGCATTTATTCAAGCACGTTGGTCTGAACCGACCTTGAAAGGAACGGTAAGTGACATGTAAGTACGTAAATTTATTCTATAAGAAAAAAAGACGCACAAAAATATCAAAATTCATTCAAATTATTTTTTTCGTAATATTATTTAGGATATTGATTCGTTCGAACCAAGTAAATTTTGGAATCCATTATTATATGTTGATAATTCTGTGGGTGATTTAAAAAATGATACTTGGCATAAAGTTGTCTATGATGGGATTGATACACCGATGATTTATGAAATGAGAAAAATTAAAGGAGTTTTTCTTGAAAATCTTGAATTGAATGATTTTCCAGTTGATGTTCAAGTAAATATAAATATTATTAATAAGATCTAATCAATTCAATCTTAAGGATTTATCAATAACGATATCAACAACACGAACAGTTAATGAAGTATTTCTTACTGCAGATACAGATCAATTAAGTGCAATTAATACACGTAAGATAAAGTTTTATTTTGAATTCGATTTTAATAATATATATCTAGATGCATTTATTGATCAACAAGAATGGCGTTTACATGAACATGTTGAAACATCAACAAAACTATTATCAAGTCCATTTACACCATCACAAAATCAACATCCAGCATTTTCAGCGACTTGTAAGAATTATTTTTGATTTTTTAGTCCGTACTTATTATTCTTTTTGATTCAGGTCGAGCAGCTCGACGACCAGGATATTTTTATTGGAATGTTTATTTTCTAATCGTAAATTAATTCTAAAACAAAAAAAAGAGTCAAATTTCTTTTTTTAGTTTTTCATAACAGTAATGGCATTTACTACATTCAGTGTTACTTATAATCTTCCACAAAATCGTCTTCAATTAAGTTTTACACTTCTTCTAACAGCAGTAACATTTAAATGGGTTGTTGTTCGATGTTTACCAACAATATCTTATCTAACAACATTAGTATTTTATTTCTTTTTTTTTTTATTTAAATAAATTTTTCCAATTCTTTTCAATCTATAGGATAAATATGTGCTTTTATCAATGGTTATGTTATGTGTTGTATGTGGATGGCATGCAATAATTGCTATTTGTCCAACTAATGTCGCACCACGTTGGGATAATATAGCATTTATAACTTTAGCTGTAATATATACATTATTTCATCTAATCTTTTTCTTTTGGATGTATTTTGTTGTAAGTTTCAAAAGGATAAATTTCCGGTTTTTTAACTTATTTCTTTAGACTTATCGCCGACGACGTATAATGAAACGAAAAGATCGAGAATATATGGTAAGTTCTTTTTTTTTTATTTATTCTAAGAAAAATCTTATTAGAAGTTTAATTCAACCGTAATTCCACATGAGTAATCTAAATGCTGTTTAGTATTTTCTTTTACTTCTGACAAGATATCATTAATTCTTTGTTATTCTTTCTTTTTCCTATGTGTTCGTTTATTGATGCATGTAATCAAAAATAAATTGATTATCAATATTTTTCTGTCTATAACATGTTTGTCATTTTTTATACAGAAACTAACTAATATTTATTATTATCTTTACCAGAAAGATCGTTTGGAGCATTTATCAACATTTGGTAATCAATTAGGTGATGAATCAAATAAATATGTTAGTTCAGCAGCAACAACAGTTGTAAGAAAAACAACAACAACATCGAAAAGTGAACATCGTTCATCAAATTCATCTGAAGATGCGCATAGAAGACATTCTGTTGAACCAAATCATCAAGTATTAGTAAATAAGTATGCGTTCGATCAATCTCTTTCGCGAACATCAATGCGACCACCAACATCGATTGTTAATCCTTTAAGTAATAGACAATATAATAATAATTATACTGGACAACAAGTATTATTAACTTCCGGTGATATTGAAGCAATGACTATGAAACAATTTCAAATGGGTTCTCTTGGATGTTAAAGATATTTACATATATTTTCTTGAAAAAAAGACATATTTATTCTTTTTTGTTGATTCTATACATTGTAATAAAAATAAATACATGTTGTAACAAAATAAAACAATCGTCTTCGAAATAATTAAGATATATTCAACTACTGACTTTCTTTTTACTCATTAATTTCATAGATATTAGAAATCAATGTCGATGAAAGTTAAAGATAATAAATACACTTAGATTTCTAGACATTTACGACTTATTATATTAGAGAACAAGGTCATTTTTATCTATAGAAATATTTCTACTATAGTAGAATTTTCATTGGTTTATAGTTTAGTAAAAATAACTTTATAATTATTATCAATGACACTAGTATTTATTGCATAGTTTTCTATAAATATATGTAAAATCAAACAATAAACAATTCTATCGATTGATAATTGGAGGAGGAGAAAGAAAGTTTCATGATAATTCGAGAATGTCATTCTTTATAAATAGATAATATAATTAGAAATTCGCACTCATTATTTCAATAATTAATTAGAATGAATGAAGAAATAAAGACTTGCACTTATATTTAAAGCAAATATTTATCTATTCGTCAAATATGGTTAATATCTCAAATTACAATTTGCTTTGTTCTTTTAAACATACTATTATAATGAATGATTTCGATTAAACAGACAACGATAATGTATATAAAGAATAAATGAAAACATCCAGTGTTATATTCTAATACAAAAAAAATTTATTCAGATTTGAGACTATTTAGAATTAGAAATATTTATTGATGATAAATAAGCTTATGACATACTGAAATTTATTAGATTTAATAAATAGAAAATTAATGTCAGATAATAAATCTTAAAAGATGAATTTATTTTCAGAATAATAAATAATCATATTAAATTTTTTTACACAATCAAATTTTGTTTGAGAAGAAAAAAATCCGAAATAGAATATCTTTTTAAACTGTATAATCATGATTATATCGCATGCTTTTCTAGAATAAACGATCATCTTGAACTATTGTCTTTTGAATAATTATCGTTGCATGTTTATTAAGAGCTTCATTGAACGACTACTCAAGTCGGATCAAAGAGAAAAATGATTGATGATAATCTTTTTCCTGCACAATCGATAAGAAAAATATCTATTTCCACATTAGACTAAATTCGAACTTATACTTATATAAAATAATTTTTTTTTTGTATTTTGTTGAGAATGGGTATGTTATTCTTTCAATCTGAATAAATGTCGGATTTAATTTAAGAGAAAGTATGGTACTCTAACTGATGAGATTCATTTTCTTCTACATTCTTAATTTGTTTTGCAACATATTGCAAGCTGATAAAAACAAAACAAGGCTTCACTACATTTTGAATACCAACTTGATACAATAAATAATAGAAATTTATCATAATAATATTGGAAAGAATAGATTTTCGTAGTTTTCTATTCTATTGTATAACAATGAAAAAAAGTCTTATAAAAACAGCTTATAGAAATGATAAGTCTGTTGATTAATGGTTCTAAACTATTAATTAACCTTGCAGCGATTATATGGAGATATATTTAGAAAAAAAAAGATTTTTCTTTTTCTTCTTTCTTAGAGAAAACGACAATATTTTTCTGCTCAACTTTGATGTAAGACACGAACATATATATATCACAATAGCAGGAAAGTTAAAAGTCTATCCTTTAATCTACATAACAAGGACTATATACAATTTTGTTGTTTAGAAAATAAATCAAAACATATTATTTGAACAAATATTTGAATTATATGAATAAATTAATCGTTGAGCTTTATCACGATTGTATCTATATATATATATATAATGTTTTCGTCCATAGATGTCAGTAGTAGATAATAGTTAAAAACAAAAGAGAAAGTAAGTTATTGATGGCGACAAATAAACAAATGAAAAAATAGCAACCTATCATTTCAATGAGTTATCCCCAGTATATCTATAATATATTGCTTTGATACACAGTTGTCACTTTCCTACTCGTTTGTGTAAATTAAAAGTTATTTTTATCTTCATATAATATGACAGTTCTTATTACTTTCTTTTTGACAAAATAACATTGATATTAAGTAGACGAATACGGAATTTGATAAAATTCATGAAATAAATTTGCTATGCTCTAGTTAATGTTTATGTCATTGTCATAAACAGTTCAATGAAGGAAAAATAGCTAGAATTATTTATTTGATATATTCGTCTTCAGATAAAAAATATCTCATCATGTATCAAAAATCAGTTAGACAAAATATTTTTCTATTAACATAAGAAAATATTTATTATGGCACAACAAGAACAAATTAATGGAAATGGTGCTGCAGATTTAGATTTGGATGATTCAAAAAAACAAGGAACACGGTAAAATTTAAGCCATCTTATCTGACTTTTAAAGAAGAACGACTTTATTCATATAAAAGATTACAAGTTTTTTCTATTTGCAAAATTACTCTTTAGAAATAACTATTGTTGACCTTACTATGTCGAATTATTATTGATTATGATAAGTTAAGACATTTGACATATGTTTCATATGAAACATTTATTTTCTTGTGATCTATAAGATTTTGTTCGTTCTATTGAATAAAACATTTTGTTTTGTTGTTAATATATAGAATAATTTTCTACATCCGTTTTTCATTTGAAAAAATATGTGTAAGAGATAGATTCCTATTGGCAATAATGTGTTACTTTTAGAGAACCTATCATTGTCATTCTTTCTTTTTTTCTGCTTCCTTTATATTCTTCTTGTCTTACCTGTTTTCCTCTCTCATATATCTGCACAGGTGTTTATTACAATCTGATAGAAATTCAAAAATAAAACAATTTTTAAAATGAACAATATATTTGTTGAAAAAAAAAGATTTCTGTAGAGATAATCGTTATATTTCTCTTGTGGAAAAAGAAGAAAAAAAAAGATTAGTTTGTAAAATGATACGTTGAAAATGAAGATAGATTGATGGAGAATTTTTTCGTCTATTTTTCTTGCTTGCGGATCTTTTAATTATTACAGACGTTAGATGAGTGGCATCGTTCTTTTTTCTCTCTTGTGTAAAACGTTCTTTTCTCTATTATTACTATTATTCTGTTTCTCGTCTAACAAAAAAAGAAAAATCTTCAACTAAGAAGAAAAAGAAGAAGAAGAAGAAGAAAAAAAGGAATGTTTGTGAGAGTTACAAATAGAAAAAGAATGCAAACGGCGTCAAGTTGATATGAAAAATAAGGATAAAGAAGAGGAAGACAAAGATGCATTATTTTAGTGACTATATGTAATAAAGAAAATGTTGAAAGTGCGTACACGATTGATTGTCATTCGGTTCATTTGATTTTATTCCAATTAATCATGTTGAATAATTGCCATTTATCTATATGATACCATATGAAACCGTAAGTAGAAAAAAAAACGTATTATTATATCAGTTGGATTTTATTTCTTATTTGTATAAAAATAAGAAAATCGAATTATTATTGATTATAAATAAATCTAATAATAATATATTGATTAAATAGATGAATATTAAAATTTTCAAAAAGTATCGAGAGTTTGTTTTTGTTTAATTATTTTGTAAGCACGCATAAAATCGGAAGTTGAAGTTAAGTGGCATAGAACAGTGAAGTGAAATTTTTCTCTTTTCTTTCTTAATTAAAATTACTGTTAAACGGAAGATGACAAACAGATTAGTTTAGTGAATATTTTTATATAACTTTAGATCATTTTCATCTCGGAAAATCTAAAGATTTGTTTTGTTTTTTCTTTATATCTCATATGTCAAAACTATCAGTAGTATGTTCTCTATCGACAATGTCTTTTCAATTTGTTCGCTTATATAGAATAAGACAAACATTACAGATGAAGAATTGTTTCTTATGTGAAGGTCGACAGTTTTTCTTCACTATCAACAGATGGATGATAGTTTTGTATCAATTATTCTAACATATTCGAAATATGTCTCTCGTTATATAGTTAGTTATTCAGATAATAGAATTTCTTTTTTCTATTACAAATAATGTGTAATGTAACATCAACGTGAGTCGAATATCAAAATTAAATAATATTTCTTTCTCTTTTTTCTATTTAGAGTGTTCAAGAAAAGTAGTCCTAATTCAAAGGTATTTGTCTATTGATTTTATTTAATTAAACATTTTACATAAATTTTTATTCAAATAGATTACATGTTATCTTGGAAAAAGAGACTTCATCGATTATATGGATCATATAGATCCAATCGGTAGATAACAAATATTTTTACAAAACATTAATTTAATATATTTTCTTTTCTATTTAGATGGAGTTATTCTCGTTGATCCAGAATATGTTAAAGATCGTAAAGTTTATGCATCTGTATTAGCAGGTACAATATAAAATTGATCGATATTTATAACTCTTTTTTCCAATAGCATTTCGATATGGTCGAGAAGATCTTGATGTACTTGGTTTAACTTTTCGTAAAGATTTGTTTTGTTCAACACAACAAATTTATCCTCCTATTGATGATCAAAAAAAATCTTTAACACATTTACAACAACGTCTTTTAAGAAAACTCGGACCAAATGCATATCCATTTTATTTTGAAGTAAAATTTATAGAAAAGAAAAAATGAATTCATAATTTATATGTCAAAAAAACATCATTCTAGATTCCTCATAGTGCACCAGCTTCAGTAACACTCCAACCAGCTGCTGGTGATACTGGAAAACCATGTGGTGTTGATTATGAATTAAAAACTTATGTGGCTGAAACAAATGAAGATAAATCACATAAACGAAGTTCTGTTAGATTAGCTATAAGAAAATTAACATATGCACCTGAAATTCCAGCACCACAACCTGTTATCGAGGCTCATAAAGAATTTATGATGTCACCTGCACCATTACATTTAGAATGTACACTTGATAAAGAGGTTTATTATTAATTTTCTTCTGTAAAAATATATTTAATTTTTGTATTTTAAGATGTATTATCATGGTGAAAGTATTAATGTGAATGTTGTTGTTACTAATAATTCAAATAAAACGTTACGAAAAATTCGTATAGCTGGTAAGTAAAATTAAAGAAAATATTTGTCAAGAGAAATGAGAAGTATTTTAATCGAAATCCTTAACTGTGTAGTTGTACAAAATGCAGAAATCTGCTTGTACTCATCAACACAGTACAAATGTGATGTAGCTGTACTTGAATCGAGGTAAAGAAAAAAAAACTATTTTGCTCGGTATTTTGATTTGTTGTATCTAATCGTTGCTTTCTATTTTTGTTAAAAACTCAATCTTTGTATTATTTGTTTTCAATGTTGTATGCTTTCGATATTATATTCTAGTAAAGCAATATGCAGAAATATGTTTGTTTACCAATGCTCATTACAAATGTTCTGTTGCTGAATTAGAAACTGAGTATGCTAAATATTTAATGATAAATGCTTTAATTGAAAAAAATTTTTTCGAATAAAAAAATAGAAATTTTAATTTTTTGTTTTTATTTTAGTGAAGGATTTCCAATAACACCATGTTCAAATTTAACAAAAGTTTATTCTTTAACACCACTTCTAGCAAATAATAAAGATAAAAGAGGTTTAGCATTAGATGGAAAATTAAAACATGAAGATACAAATTTAGCTTCGTCGACTATGTAATATTTTATTTAAATTAAAACTACAAAAAAACATCTATTTATTTTTAAATAGAATTCGACATAATACACAAAAAGAAAATCTTGGAATTGTTGTGCAATATAAAGTGAAAATAAAAATAATTGTTTCGATGGGAGGGTAAATTTTATTTTATTAATATATTTTTCTATATTTAGAATTTATTTTAATTTAATAGAGATCTAGCTGTTGAATTACCTTTTACATTAACTCATCCAAAACCTCCTCCAACACCTTCGCCATCGAGACAATTTGATCAACAAAATCCAGATGATCAACAAGCAATTGATGTACCTATTGATCATAATTTAATACAACTTGATGCAAAGTTTGTTTTATATAACATACAAAAAAAGACGAGTCTCATTTTTGTTTGTTTTAGTTATGATAGTGCTGGACATGATGATGATTTCATATTTGAAGAATTTGCTCGAATACGTCTTAAAGGTCATGAAGGTGGAGCTGATGATACTGAAGCTTAAATATTTCATTTCTGTCTCTCTCTCTTTCTTTCTCTCATTTCTTTGTTTATTCATATTTTTAACAATGCGAACCGACGTTAATTTTGTCTTTGTTTGCTATTGATTCTTATTGTTTTTTGTCTTTGTATATAAATATTGTTGTTTTAATGTATCTATCTTCGTCATTATAATACAAAAACAACCATAAACCAACTTTTCATTCATATTAATATACAAATCCTAGTCATTGATAAATCAGAAGATGAATGATGATTTATTATTGTTCCTGAATAGTCGGAGGTTAGAAATTAAATTAATTAATATTAAATGATATGTGTCCTTATTGATAAACATAATCCGAGTCAGGAACTTTCAAGAATTAGCATCAGTAATGAATTGACCTATATAGAATATTTTATCCCATTCGTCACCTAGATCTTTAAATCCGATAAATTACTGTAGAAAAAAAAAGCTTGAGAATTTTCTTTAAAAATAAGTAACCTTTTCAGAAAAAAATATTAAATAATATTCTCCCACATTCTTTTTTACATAAATAATTCCTTTGTTGAATATTATGAAAATGATTTATCTTTCGTAAAAAGAAAATAGTTCGAACAAGATTTATCTCTGCATATTACCTTGAAATTCAATCTAACCATTAGACACGAGCTTGATCAAATATAGTCCTTAAGTGTCGAGGGATTCTTTTTCCAGACTGAAAGAAAACTAAACACAGAAATAGCGATTCTGATCCCAGAGGATGCCTTGTACTATAGTTGAGAATACAGAAAGTTTTACCCTTGATTGTTCGCTTACAATCGTCTCAAATAGAATTGAAAAGCTCACTCCGATAATATTCTAATAGATCTTACATTATTTATTAAGTAAAAAAATTAACAATACCTTTAGTTATTAAAAGTAAATATCTCCGTAAAATGATATTTTATTAATAACATTAGAATTCCTATTGTATCTAGATGATTTGATAGAAATGTTTTTGAGTATAAAAATTGTATTTGAAAAACTATTTTCTAGTAATTGATAATCGTTTTATCGTGATTTTTTTCCATTCTGTCATCGATCTAACTTCTTCGTTCTAGTAAATAATAGCTTTTACATGTCAGATTCTATTGTCTATTTTTATAGCAATTAATGTAATATCCCCTGGGACAGACACTCAGCTTTTATGGGTTAAATATCAATAAAAATCTCCTCGCAAAATAAAATTTTGTAAATATTTTATCTTTTCGATCTCATAACTTTCTCGATAATAGAAATTATCGGTTGACGGGAACATTATAAATTATTGAAAGTATTTTTTAATAATATTTAATGATTAGAAAAATTTGAACTGTAATAATTTTTCTTGTGTCAAACATAATAAATCATTTTTCTATAAGTAAACGCTTTTATTGCATGTCATTTTTTTAATTAAATAGATCTCACATGATCGTTTATTTCAATAGAAAAAAAAAGAATTTATATTTAGTTTTACCTAGAAAAAAATATAAAAGCTTTGTTCGTTTAAGTGCACTAGTTTTTCCTTCAACATGAAAATTTTATTGTCGAAATCGATAGGTTATATAACAATATTTTCATGTTAATAAAGAGTATATCAAAGCCAGTTTAAAACGGAAAGTTATTTTTATATAAGATAAAATTTTGATTAATTTTTCTAAAATGTTTTTGACATATCTGACAAGTATAAAAATTAGTTTTATTTGCAGAACATGTCAAACAATTATCGAGCAAAACAATTTTACAAATTTTCTCACGTAAAAATCATTTTTTTTAATATATTTCACCTCATGTTTTTAAAGACAAATCTATTCAAAAATTCATATTTCCTTCAATAATCACTCAAGATCAATAAATTATTTTTGTTTCTTATCGAAAAAAATTCATTCTATTATTTATATTTAAATATTAAAATCTAGTAAATAATGTAATTTTACATCAATACAGAAATTTTGGAGTTTACATCTGTGTCAGTTCTCGCGAAAACTGTAATCATCTTGCTCTAATAGATAGTCTGGACTGTGCTCAGTCGACTAGTTATGCTCAAGAAAAACAGCATACAGTTAGAAGCTACACTTTGTGGAAAAACTTCAAATTTGGAGCTCACTTAATTTGACCTTCCTTAACTTATTTCTCGTAACTAAAACTTTTTAAGAACTAATTATTCTTTTCGGTAAAACCTGTACAAAAATATTAATATTGTTTTATAACGTATCACGCGATTTAAATTAGGTAAAAGTTATGTATGTATAAATAAATGAAATGATATTAATACGAAAAAGAAATGTTTAATAATTAAACAGAACAAAACAAAAAGTAATTTGTACTGAAATGAAAAAAAAAATCTTCTGATATTTTATTTTTCGACGATAAAATGAAAACGCAGCCATAGACAAATACATGAACTAAGTTTAGAAGCAAAAAAGAAATATTTATTTAGATCAAATTACTGTTCACCACCAGCATCTTCTTCGGCATTTAATTGATCTTCATCACGTTCATCAATAGCTTCATCTAAATAATATCAAATTTATTTCATTTCACAAAAAAATAAACAAACTTACCATTGAGTAAGGCACCAGTATGATTTTCTCCTTCTTCATTTGTATGATGTTCTGAATGACCATGATGTTCTCCATGAGCTGATTCTGGTCGATCAGTATTTTGCCCTGAACCTTGTGCAACATCACCTGTTGATGTTCCCATATCAACAGTACCTTCAATGACCTTTTTTAATAATAAAAAAAATAATAATTTTAAATTAATCAAAAATGTTTACTTGTCGAAGTGTATCAGCTAGTTTTTCATAATCATCAATTCGTTGATTGACAACATCTCGAATAATTGAATCAAGAATAGTTCGACCAAGTACCAATTGATTAACATGTGTCAATGTCTTATCTACTAACCATGGCATGAATGATGTTTCAATTTCTATAAGAAAATTAAAAAAAGTCGAAATGTTTGATTTTTTGTTTTTGAAGAAATACCATGTTCAACAGGATCATAGAAGTATCCATTTTCTCTTAAGTTATTAAATACACTTGGAACAAGATCTTGTAAGTAAGCTTTAGCAAAAGCTCTTGCAGCAACTTTTTGTGCAACATCTTGTTCAGCTTGAAGTGAATCTTGTGCTTGTCTCATTCGACGATCTTTTTCAGCTCTTAAACGTCTTTCTTGTTCTTCTAATCGTTGTAATTCAATTAATTCAGCATTACGTAATTCTTCATATTCTCGTTGTTGTTCACGAATTTCTGCTAATTCTTCTTCTTCAGCGACTTCAATTAATGCTTGTTCAACTGTTTTACCAACTAAAGTTTCAACAATAGGTTTCACTTCAAGATCAAAATCAAATAACTAAAATAATTAATTTAAAGAAAAAATAAAATTAATATTAAGGAAAAACAAAATTTACGTCGCCATCTTCAATTTGAGTAGAAACGTCTTTGCCAGTTGATTGTGGAATAAATAGAGGTGATGGTGGTCGATCAAGAAAAGCATCTGTTTGAACATCAACATCGGCTTCTTCAATTCGATCACTAAAATAAATATTATCGAACCATAGAGACCTTCTTATATAAGATTGTTCTCTGTAATTTTACATTTATAGTGCATGTAAGTAGGGCAACTTTCATTTCAACTTCTTAGAAAAACTTTTCATTCAAGGTTTATATACAAAGTTTTCATTCGATAATTTGTATTGAAGGAGAAAATATAAGGGAATAGATTTACCTGAGTTCTTCAAGGTAAAGCTCTGTTTGAACATCGACATTTCTTCGATCGTGAACTGGTTCTGGTGTTCTAGTACGAACTTGTTCTCGAGCCTTTCGTCTAGCTATAGCACGTCGTTTAGCTTCTTGTTGACGTTGAACTTCAATTGGATCTGGTTGAGCATGCTATTAAATATTAAAAACAAAATATACTTTCATTAAATAATAAAACGAAACAATTAAAATAACTTACAGCAGGAAGTGTATGAAGAGCATAAGTATTGCCACGTATAACACGACGATCATACATTAAATTTGCATACAAACTGTTCTCATCTCTATATTAATGATAAGTCAAATAGAAATTAATAGGAAAATTCCAATTGATATTACACTTACTGTGGTTCAACAGGTGCTTGTCGAAATTTTTGTCGCTGTCCTTGTTGTTGAACAGCTTTCGGTTGACTCGCAAATGTATATGTTGAATTAGGTGGTTTCACACTCATAGCAGCCATCTGAGAAGAATAAGTATTAGATATTCTAAACTATGAACAAAAAGTGAAAATGAGTAAATTATAAAATTGATGAAGAAACAAAAATCATGTCACTATATAACAATCAAAAAAACAAAATATGTCGTATGAGTGTGTGTATTATGCCCAACAACCATAGTTTACAAATGACAAGACATCATCGCCACCATTGTTATAGTGAAGACTCTATTGGAATATTTTTATTTATTCAAATGAAAACAATTGAATTAACAAGAAATTAAAGATTAAATCGAATTTATATGAATTTTAAATAATTATTGTAAATAAAATTTATTAATTATAGTAGAGACATCTACCGGATAATTTCAACGTTTTTCCCTATATATTCCTAGAGGTCTCATAGGAATTTTTTCTTCGTGCACATATCACATGATATCTATACACGTGATCAGCACTAGAAAAATGTTCTATTTATTCAATGCCAAACATTGAGTTGTTGATTAATAATTACATATATAATCCAGGAAGAGTGACACATAATTTCATGCCTACTGCATAAATACACTTGAAACATAACTCACGCATATTTCCGCATACGTTACTTTTTCTTCAATGAAAATAAATGACCATCTGTTACTTTTCTTAGTTTTGAAGATAAAACAGTTGAAATTATAAAATACTTATTAAGAGAAATGCTTTATTAAATAAATAATGGCACTTTTCTAAATTTATATATATATTGTTTCTGTTCATCATAGAATAAAGATCAATTGCACAACAATATCAACAAAAAGAAGAAGAAAGGAAATGTTTCAAAATAGTAAAGATATAGAGAGAGATTCTCATTGAAATAAAGACTACATTTTTTATCAACACAAAAGATATCAAAAAATATAAACAACGAGAAAGAAAAAAGAATAGAATGACAAAAACTAACTATTGATTTACAAAATATATCTCAAGCAACCGGGAAAATCGTATAATAGAACTTTTAATACAAAAAAAAAATCGAAAAAAGAAAAATAAATGTTATTCAAATTGTTATAGTAAACTCAATTGGATAAGGACCAAAAAATGGTTCATCAAGTTCGGTCAAAATAACATATGTACGTCTTGCTGGTGGTGGTGGTCGTTCATCTGGTGTATCTAATATAATTTTTTCATTGGAAATTGATGATGGATCAGCAAATAATTCAAATGATTCGGAAAGTGCTACCGAATGATCAAGTGGTGCATCTAATATAATTTTTTCATTGGAACTCGTTGAAGGTGCAACAAATAATTCATATGATTCTGAAAGTGCTACTGATGTATCTAATATAATTTTTTCATTCGAAATTGCCGAAGGATCAACAAATACTTCAAATGATTCTGAAAGTGCCGACGAATTATTAACTGATGCTGCAGGAATTATGGGCGATGATGGTGGTGATATTGCTGTATGTGTAACCGTTTCTATAACCTATTTTATATAAATAGAAATTTTGAAAATAAATTAACGAAAACATACTTCAGGTAATGGCATTTGTATTTGACTATCAGTTGTTTCATTACATTTATTAATATCAGTTAATATCGATGAATTTGATATATTAATATATTGATCATCACTAGAAAGATTTAAACTCTTTGTTGTTACTAATATTATGCTAAAAATATCACATTGACCGCTGCCAATGGATTTATAATATGAATCGCAGTAAAGAACTAGATGGTATTCGAGTTTCACGCGACTACGAAATGCGATGTGAAGCACGATTTTATGGTTTTCACAACATTATATAGATGATTCATTATCAATTATCAGCTGCACTGTCAGCTGTAAAACAGTTGTTAGAGAAAAATGGCGCCTAACTTTTGCTTTTACTTTTCGTTTTAATTATCTCGAAATCGTGTTTTTGTGACGCTTCCTGTAAACGAACTAGACATCCTATTGAAAGTCAAAAAACATGTCATATTAGTTCGATGTCGATATTTTATTCTTGCGTTTAAATGAGTTGTTTCTGATGTTCTATTGCTGAGATAATTGTGACACAAAATGACCACTTTGAATGCGTATTGCGTACGTCGAGAAAGGAAGAAAACTCGCGAAGAACTACATAAATGCTTCTGCTATTCGCATCGCATTAAAAACTGATGAATAACTTTGAATTACAAATCACAACAAGATAAAATATATTGGGTGCAAGGAGCGAATCGAACCGGGTTTGTTCTCGCTTCTTGTCACAATATATAAAATCCTGTTATTTGTAAACTTTATCGATCGTACTCACATTAGACTAGACTTCCATTATCTTTGTTGTTCAGATGTATTCAGCATAGATTTAAATAGACAATAACCAAGAAAGTCAATTCATTACATATTGTTTACTTCAAAGGAATATCTAAACAGTAGATTGAAACGATAAAACTTCTCGAGAAATATCTCACATAACTATTCCGAATATTCACTATGAATGCATTTTTGGGGATTTTTGAATCATCCTATGTAATATATCTTAAATCTTAAATAAACTTACAGTTGATGATAATGTTCAATTAAATGTTGAAAAATTTTATGTTCTAAAATAAAAAATAAATATATATAATATAAATAAAATGAAATTAAACCTGAATCATCGTTTATAATTGATGTCGAAGATGAATGTTCTTCTGATGCACGTGTAGTAATACATGTTGAACAAACACATTTAATTGGTGCTCGACGAATACGAGATGAACGACGAAGTGGTGCAATTATTTTTGATGATGATCTATTAATTAAATGAAATTATATTTTGAATAAAAGAATAAATATTTTCGGTTTTTACTTTTTATCTATAAATCGAGGTGTTACCGAATATTTTAAATAAGATAAAAGTTCGTTTATAAAACTTCGACTATATCGATTATTTGTATTCCATGTTGAAATACTTCGATTTGATTCATTTAATGATTTACTTAATTGAGAATCATTTTCTATGAAAAATAAAAATTAATTTTTTTATTGAAATTTTTTTAGTTTTTTACCATCATTAGAAAATGTTTCAGTATCGCTAAAATTTGTCGTAGATACATCATAAATTCCTTGTTCTTTAAGAATTTTTTTAACAAATGATACTTTAGAAAATTCAATCATATTCGACCATAAATGTTCAATAAATTGTATAACAATAGATCGATGTTTAAAATAAGGACGAAATTGTGGAAAATATTCTCTAAGAAAAAAAAAGATTAATTAATTAAATTTCTAGTCTTTGTTTTTTATAGAATTTTACTTATGAAAAAGATCAAATGCACGTTCATCTGAAGATTTTTCTGTGTCAATAAATGCTGAATCTTAATAAAAGAAGAAAAAAATTAATATTTATTAATAAGAGAAATACCTTCAGAAGGTTGACGACAAAATTTTTTATTATTTCGTCCATTAGAAGATATAATTGAACCTTGATTTTCATTATCTGGACGTACACGTTTAAGTGGATGACGACGAGAGGATTGATTATGATGTTTACTAGTCATGCTTATTATGATTTAAAATATACAAATGACTATGACATGAAGATTTTATTCGTTTTCTCTTTCTTCTTTACACACAATTCATCCACATGTGTATAAACAAATTGTTTTTATCCCTGGATTAATAGACAGAAATCATCTTTCTATTATAAGTGCATTATCTTTCAAAGATATATCTGATCACATACAAAAGAATAACACATTGAACAGTAAAATATTATTTTTTAATTACAAAGCATTCTGATTACATCCTGTAAACATTATTTTGGAACGGATTAGACGTATTAAAAGATTATAGAGTAAAAAAACTATATATAGAATTTTCACTGTAAAGTTATTTTCTAGCGTTTCGTCATCGCCATTGTTGGTTCAACCGTAGGTTGTCTTTGTCTTAAGCAAATTAAATTTTTTAATTCTTTTCGAAAGATTTTTCCAGTCAGTGTAAATAAATAAAATGATGTTGATGTATTCATCAAAGCTAATAAAACAACAAAAGTAGCAAAGAAACTTTCGATTAATTTCGATTGTTGACTTTTCATTTGATTCAATGTGATTTCTGAATAAAGCTTTTGAATTGATATTGGTAGTGTAAGTATGGCTGTACTAATAACTTGAATAAGAAGCATCGTGGTTAACTGTCGATCTTTAACACTTGTCTGTGGTCGTAAATGTCCAGTAGTACGAACATTTCGAATTGTCAACCAACCAAATATAAACATTAATATTGGTGGTAATAAACTAAAAGTTATAAGTAAATTATAATCATTCCATCCATTACAAAATCCTGATGCTGGATAACAATTAGCTGCTTGAATAGTACCATCGAAACAAAAATTCATTTGAAAATAAACAAGAAAAACAAGAATTGATATGATTAAAACAATACGACGAGCTACTTTCACTTGACTAAATGATCGTATATGAACAGTTGCAGCACTTGATGCATAACGATCAGCACATGCACCAACTATAAACCATGCTGAAGAAGCTAAGCCAATATAAGTTAAAAATGTTTTTATTTTACAATATAAACCCATTTGAGATGCTGGAGGTTGAATATTAAATGTACCTAATAAACGTGTTAAACATCCAAAGTATATTGCAAAAAAGTTTGCAATACTTGATGCAAGAAAATAGATCGAACAAGAATTGCGACTAAGTTTTCGACGTGTAAATATTAAACAATTAAGAATATTACCAATTGTACCAATTATGATTGTTGTTAAAGGCATATAACGAAGAAGTTGTCCTTGAACTATTTGAATTTCAGTTTGTGCACTCATATTTATACAAAGATAATGTTAAAGTTAGAAAAGTGAAATTATGATATATATATATAATATGAATGGTTGCTTTAAGAAAATATAATTAACAAATGTATTACTCTTGACTTGTTACATTTCCGATAGTTCTATAGCAGTAATTTACTATAGTTTTCTGCTTCCATGTCAACATTTCTATTTTGAAAATTGTTAGTTCAAACATTACATTAATATGAATCTTCATGATGTACCAAAAATATAAAAAATCATATCTTGAGGTATACTCATGTACTTTTATATATTATCTCCTAGAGTAATTAACAATGACGTCACAATTTTCAGAATTCTGATTAAAATTATAAGTGTAGGCGTTAAACATGAATATGTTTATTACAGTTTTAGAAAATTAAAATATTTACATTGAAAAAGAAGTCTCGTGTAATTACTCTTATAATGCAAGTGCCTTTATATTTCTTTGGTATTACAGTCGATAACTTCTAAATATTTATATAATTTATCTTTTATCTTATTGGTTTCAAATATGTAATATAAACATGCACTGAAAAACATAAGAAACAAAAATATTAGCGACAAACAATTTCTATTGAGTTTAATTTACAATTGGATCAATTACAAACTAATTAATTCTATAGTTATAATGTTGAAGAGACGTCTAATGAGAGATTAAAGGTTATTTAGAATATATACTTTTTTTAAATATCTAATTTAATGATAAATAATATTTTGTTTTAAATATAGATTGTTTGAATAATATTAGTTCAAGGGCATATTTGATTATGTAAAGTTGGAGAAAAAATTCTATCTGATATTAAACTATATTTATATATATCACAAATCCCATCATATACAATATTTTCATGATCATGTACATTACATATAAATTCCACATTTTGCAGTATTTGATGTTCATTCTATTAGCTTTATTGTTTACTTGTATAATCAAAAGCTTTATTATAAGTAATTTTGCACTAACTAGAATTTGCTATCATAGACTGAGATATTGTTATTGTTGATGATGATGTGGATCTCAGATCTATATCTTTACTCTCAACCGCATCCACACTCTCAAGATAATTATGGATGTTGCCATCATACACAATAACAATTGAATCAAGAATATTTATTGTTGTATTTATTGTCAATAAATCATACATCTAAGAGTAAATGTAGATAAAATAGTAAAATTTAATATCGATGATTCTAAAATTATTTTAGCTTGAATAATAGAAATTTCATGAATATTCGTATGAGATTAAATGATATTATTAGATACCTAAAATCAACAAATTCTATTAATTGACTAATCTGAAATTAAGTGTCATCACATTTACAAAATGAGTTATAACAGTTAAAGTTGAATATATCAGCTGGAATACTCAAGAGTAAGGAAGCTTGTTTTTGATGGTTCATAATAGTATATAATAAAAGCATCTTGATTTGATCTACATCTTTTTATTTAAATAATTGATTTTGCATCATCTCAACGAATATTTATTTTGATACTCACATTCTGAAATAACAACATAAATATTAATTTATGATAAGATTTTTAACAAAACTGTATTTAACAATAGTAAAAGTATGAAATTGAATTATGTTATTATATCTTGAGGGTGGATGTGAATACTATCTTTATCTAATATCCAGACTCACACCTTAGGTCATTTTAGCTCATCGTTAAATAGATAGTTTAAAGAATATCGTAATAGAGAAAAATAAACCATCGAAAACAATGATGAAGAAAATATTAAGAGAATTGAAATAATAATAAAAAGTAAGTACTCCTTTTCCTTATTTTATCTTTTTAAGATACGTTCAACGATAACAATTAGCGATGACTATATACTAACTTTTTCAGTAGTTTTAGAATTATTTGCATCTGTTTGCTTTTTTTCATTGTAATATTTTGTAGAAGTAATTGCTAGATAATTTTATAGGATGAGAATGTAAGGAAACAGAGAGAGTAGGAGTAGAGAACAAAATCTAGTGGTATATAATGACGTACAGAGTAAGTACATAGGAACATGATCGGCAAAAAATTCAAAACAAGTCGTTTATTATATTTATTGTAAACTGATTTGTTTTTTTCTGATTCATTGAAAATCAAATAAAAATTATAAAAAAACATTGAGATTTATTTCTGATTACTTATTTTTCGTCGCTTGTTCATCACAATAGTTTATATCGATAAAAAGTTGTTTACAGAAACTGAATATAATGATGAAATAAAAATATGACGTAATCTGCGTCTTGTAAACAAATATTTTGTTCGATCGATACACGTGTTGTGCAAATACACATAATGGAAGAAAGCAAAGGGGAATAATAATGCATTAGTAATGACGTTAACGCTTTATTTTTCAATGAATAGAAAGGAGTGAACGCCCTGTTCTTCTTCTATCTCACTCCTAAGAACAGAAAATGACGATATGCATGATAATAATATACGATGAATAACTTTTCGTCATCATACATAATCGATCAATCTTGCGTCTCTTTTTCGAAACGCCCGTCGTTCTCCTATAAAATACTCTTCTCTTTAATACACTTTTCATTTCTTATTATTCATTCTCGACTGTAAAATATGTATGGCTATGGATATGGTGGTGGTGGTTATATACAACAAGGATACGAACAGGAACGCATGGGTTTTGGTCCACGAGGGTATATTGTAGCTATTCTTTTCGATGAATCTGTCTTTTTTGTTGCAGATTCGGTGTCTATGAACAAGGGATGGAGATAAACCGAAATCCTTATAATGGAGCAGCGGTTGTCGTACATGAAAATAAATTCACACCAACGGGTGGCATGGGATACGGAGGATACGGAAGTCCTTATGGCTATCAGTTCTACTAAATAATTTATCTATCATGTTGTTATTTTTTGCATATAATAAAGAAGTATTTTCTATCATAACAGTTGTTGATTGTAGATATACGCTGTTACTTATCATAAGCATATTGAGGGTGTGGATGAGATCGATATATTACCATCACACCCACACTCACACCTTCAAGATAATCTCAACGAGTAATTATTTTGATATTCACATTCTGAAATAACAACATAAAAATTAATTTATGATAAGATTTTAAATAAAACTATACTTACTAAAAGTAAAAGTATGAAATTAAACTATATAATTTATATTTATCGATGGTTCAATTAACTAAAAGTCATGAATAAATATTCTTTTTCTACTTGATTGTTTGACGATGTGGGTGTTGATGTTGTTTCTGATATACCCACACCCTTCAATGGCATATTTGATTATTTAAAACTGGATGAAAAAAGATCTATCTGATACTGATATATATGTATTCATTAAATTTATAAATTAATTTAAAACAATTTATATTAGATGTGCACAAGGTAACCTTATCTCTTACCCTTATCATACCCTGTACATGTCTAATCTATATGATTCATGATATTGATTTGAATAAAATCGAAAATGATCGATTACAGTATATTAATATTTGATTTTTTACTCATATATGGTCGAACCATCTTATGAGAAAAATATTCGAAATGAAACGTTAATTATTGTTTTTTTACACACAATCCTCACGATTATTTACAAATCTCTAAAATATCATAGATCGATTTATACTGGAAATTATTCGAAGTTACTAAAACAATCGAGAGGAAATTTACGAATATGACATTATCCATAGGGTGAGGGTGTGGGTAAAGAAAAGATGAATTAACATCCACATTCAACGAACAGACTTTCTTTCTACAAAACTGATCCACTCGTAATTTAGTTATATTTCTATTAGAATGAAATGAAATCTATTGTATGTGCAAATTAGATTCGAAATATTTTTCAACGAGTTTTCTAGTATACATATACATTGTGTACACTTCATACGATTCTTTCATTTTATTATAATACCAACGTACAATTCAACAATTACTAGAAGAAGCTTTACATAATCTCAGTTTCTCAATTACCAACAATACTCATTAATTCCAAATCAAACACTTGTTTCTGATACAAAATATTAAAGTGATATTTCTGACGAACAACTAAGAAGTTCTCTACCCCTCAACCATTTATACATCCGACGATATTGCAATCTCAACACGCAATCGAACTTCATATCTACAGACTTTATTCCAAAAAAACAGATATTGAACAGTATTTTCTTGTCAATATTCTTCGTTCCACAGACACTTTCTGACGATCATTGATAACATATGTCCCTTTTCAAACAGCGAGATTCGATTATATATAATTTCGCAGTATACTATAATCAACCCTCAACTATCATGATCATGAATATCATCATAAAACATGCATCACCTGAAAAGCAGCACATGTGAACAAAAACCTGTCGTAATAATATTCTTTTAATAGAAATCATATATAAAATAAATCGGTTCTATTTATATTTAGTTACGACTATGCCCAGTAAACAAATTCATCCACAAATTAATTAATAGTTTTCTACTGGTGATCAATACATCGTCGATGACAACATTCACAACTTTGCCACTCTGTTGTTCTGCTGAATGAACTCATCGATTTCATCCTGGAGTTTCTCTCCGATTCCATTGTGCCTGAGATTTAGCGTGGTAAGTGTCTGTACGAAAAAGTGCAGATGACTAGATAAGGTAGA